ATGTCTCTCCGAGTAGAGCCATTATGGGCGCGCCTGACGCCATTCACCCCTATCCCTCCGCTTTACCCCCCCCCCTTAACCGACCCAGTAACCCCCCCCCCAGGGCCACGACTCCACCGCCAACACCCTCTTCCTGGTTCCTGCGCTACATGGAATCCCACCCCACAGTCCAAACCACTCTCCGCGCCACCCTGCGCACCGCCTTCCCCTCCCCCCCCACCACCGGCCACCACCATCCTCAACGCCGACATCCCCTACCTCGACGCTACCTGCGAAGAAACCCTGCGCCTCTCAGGCACCGCCAAAGGTAGCCTACGCCAAGCGCTCGTCGACACGCACATCCTGGGCTGTCCGGTGCCGCGCGGCGCCGAGATCCTCATGAACTACCACGTGAACAGGGCGCCGCCGGGCGAGGCTGTGGACGAGGGGAGGAGGAGTGCGACGTCGAGGGCGGCGGGCGAGAAGAGGGGAGATGGGCTGAGGGGGGTGGCGGGGAGGGATTTGGGGGTTTTTGAGCCGAGGCGGTGGTTGGTGGATGGGGAGGGGGGGAAGGAGAGGTTTGATGCGGCGGCGTTGCCGGGGCTGGCGTTTGGTGGGGGGGTTAGGGGGTGTCCTGGTGAGTTGTCCCTTTGTGCTGCGCGGTGTTGCGGTGGCGCTGTTTGTGAATTGGTTGCTAACTGTGGGCGACTGCTACAGGACGGAGGCTGGCGATGATGGAACTGAAGATTATGGTGGTGATGCTGGTGTTGAACTTTGAGTTTCTGCCGCTACCGGAGGAGTACAAGTCCATGGCGGCGACAGAAAAGGCTTTCCGTGAGCCCGACTTTCCGTTCGCGAGAATGAGGGCGGTTTAGACCCAAGGTTAGTTGGTTTTATCGAGGCCATGGTGTGGAAAGGGGGCCGGTATGTTGGCAAAAGGATTCTGCGGTTAACCCCCACTCTAAGAAACTTTCAAGAACGTGACTCCAAAATCCCAAACCACGATCTTCAGACCAGGTCCTGACGAATACAACGCAAACCTTCTTCGTGATCCCCTCCTGATCTTCATCCCTTCACCCCATCACCACCTCAATCCACCACTCCATCCCAAGCATCCTCCCTCAATCATACGGCATCGAACTGGCTCCATTCCACGTCTCATCGACCCAATGCGTCCTATTCTTCGGCGGTGGCGGCAGATCCACATTCCTCCTCATGAACCGCTGCATCGTCTCATTACTATTATCCGGCCCCCACCGCTTAGCCGCCAAAAACTCATCTACCCTCCGCAACAAATCCCCTAGGGGCGGGCGGTGCGCCGGCTTCTCGCACAGACACCAGGCCACCAGGTGCCGCAGCTTGGGGTCGACCTTCCTGTACCGGGGCCCGAGGATGTACGCGCCGTACGACCACACCGTCTTGCGCGCGCCGTCTTGCGGGTCTGTAATTTGCATCTTGCCCGGAAAGGGGGGCAGCGAGGGGAGGTGGAAGGTTATGGCGCTGATCATGCACTGGGTGGTGGGGGTTAGTGAGAGGGGTTGGGGGGTGGATGGGGTGTGTCGGTGGGAGGGGAGACTGCTTACGAGCGCGAGCTGGTAGAGATTGGTTTTGAAGGAGTACTTTCCGGCTATCTCGATGGGGGGTGGGGGCAAGATATCCCCTTGCCGGTCTTCTTCGGTGACGAAGACCTGCTCGGTGGGGTTGTTCGCCACCCAATCCCATTCGGCGGTGAATTGCTCCTGTAGAGTATCGTAAGTAACACTGGCCAGAACATCAGAAGTCCAGCGGGATAGAACAATGCTTACCGGCGCCATGAAATTTGGCTTTGCCTGTTCGCGGAACGTCCACATGTAATGACTAGAAAACGAGATTGTTAGAACATGGATGGCGAGCCCACTGCCGAGGCATGACTTCGGTAATTGCCTGGTTGTTGGGGTTGAGCACTGCTTACCGCGAAGCTAGAAAGGCGTCGTCAACCTTGAAAGCATTACCAAAGTCTCCCACTTTCAGAACGGGAAAGTCGTAATGAGGGTCGTCGCGTGCCACGACGGTGGGGAAGCCACCGAATAGAACTAGCGATGAGTAAGAGCTTGGCCCGGGTGGCATGTAGCAAGTGACGAGTATGGAACTTACGGTTCTGGGGGTCGATGTCAAAATGGACCAAACCTTCCCCCCCTGGAGCATTGCCCATGTCTTTCCAGGTTCCGTCCTGCATGGCTTGGTCGTAGAGGGCTCGGAGGTCCGGAGGGATACGCTCGCTAACCTCGTGAGTGAGTGGCTGGATGATTTCACCCCTCTCGTTCGTAGCGAGATACTTGTCGTCCTTGGAAGGGGGGTACTCCATCGCGATGCACGACTTGATCACTGGACACCCCAGGTGAGTCAGCTCAGGGCATCATCAAACTATCAAGCGGACTTACAGCAACGAAACATGTGCCACAAAGCCCGGTCGGGGAAAGGGTCTTCGTTTTCTTGAGCAGTACAGATGACTTTGTGGAGGCTACCACGCGAGTGGTATTTGAGAAAGATCATAGGATCAAATGCAGCCGGATTTCGCTCTGGAGCTGGGATAAAGTCCAGCGTCTGAACGATATGCAGAGCGTTTCGGTATACCTATCACGCCCTTGTATTAGCGGTTGGGCACAAGGTGTTAAGCTCGTGGTTGTGCACCTACGCTTTGCATCTCCCTCTCTCGCCTTAAGCCCCGCAACGATTTCTGAGAATCGATATTGCACTTGACGACGAAGTAGTCAACAGGGCCGGCGGGGCCCCGCTTGAAGCGGTAGAGTGAAGCGATACCATTCCCTCCCCATCCGAGTGTGCGTTCCAGGTGGAACTTGTGAGCTTTGAGCCTTCGCTGAAGACTTATCCGGGCCCGCTTGGCCTCTTTGGAGTTCCTGTGGCCGCCAATGTCATCTGGGTCCCAATCAAAGCGCGACCCTTTCCATTTCCCTGAGAGGAGGCCGGGCCCACGGTACCGTCCGCGCTTCGGGATCTTGATATTCAGGAACTTCTCCGCCTTGGTCTCAGCCTTGGTCATGAAACGGCCTTCGGTTCGAAATTTCTCAAACTGGAACGCTTGTTTCTTTTGGAGAAACTCAAACCTTCTGTCTTCATCATCCTCTTCTTGCTGCACTTCCTCCTCTCCCTGCTCCTCCTGCTCCTCCTGCTCCTCCTGCTCCTCCTGCTCCTCCTGCCTTTTCTCCTCTTCCTCCTGATTCTCTTGTTCAGTTTGTATTCTCCTTTCTATGTCGGCATCTTCTGCGCGCAGTCGGTCTTCCTCTGCCCGAAGCTCAGCTAACCGTTGCCGCACTCGGGCAATTTGAGCGGCGTTGTCGGCCATGGAAACGGATGCTCGGGAATTGGTTGGTCTTGGTCATGCAACCGCCACACGAGTCGAGCGTGAAGGATGATAATTCGATGTTGTTGGTAGGCTCCAGCTAAGCGGTGGAAGGTCGTGTGGTGAGAGGTTGGTCGTCCAAGGAGTTGCTGGCATCACGAAACCCATGCCCAGGATCTCATTGAAGTTCACCTGAGACAAAGAACGGATTAAATTCCGCTATAAACACCGTTAAAGGTTCCCCCATAAGACATCTCTTTCGACTTGACGCATCCGGCGGGCGTTTTTGTAACAAGAGCGGTCCGTCTCGTATGTCCGTGGCGTAAATTATACGACAAAGACATTTTATCTTGACGGAACATGGGGGCTTATCCTTGTTGCTTACTGAAATGGATACAGAGGTCACAAGTCATGATGGTGGCTGTCAGGGAGCCTGGTGGCTAACAGGGAGCCCTGCAGCCCCATCTCTCTCTCTGTATATAGAAACAGAGCCTCCCACCATCTGGAAGCTCTGATCAATGCCAGCAACCTTACACAAACCATGCATAACCACGTTATTCAACATTGCTCGTGATCTCCGCCTAGGTGGCCAAGTCAATAACAAGGCCCCAAAATAACTTGGGCTACCTAATTGCTGGTACCTCGGTAGTCCGCATGTCGATTGACAATATCGACCCCGATATGAATTGAAAGCTATTCCCAATATGGGCCCGTCTACCTACCTTACTTAGCTCAATGAATGACCTGCAGCACCTGCTCATCGTTCTACATCTCACTCAGTCAGGGTTGCAGTACGGGTGAGAAGACTGATTGCGAGTCGCATATACTCCCCACATTGGTACACGGTATTGGATCGCGAAACGTAACAGCTTTCTCAGGGGCCACTTATTAATAGTAAACTCTTTTTAGGGCGCAAGCGTTTCTTCTCATCTCGCTTTAAAGCTAAGGTAGATCACTTTGAGGGGCCCATATGCGGAGGCTGGCTTGTACATCGACTCCATCGTTAATAGCTGCGGGTAACATCATCATGTCCGAGAACACCCTATCGCGCTTTAAATATCGAACCCCTACGACGTCGATCATGGAAAGCGGTAAACCCAGCATCGCCCATTTGAGTTGCAAAGATACAATGGTGAATGGTCGTGGTCACATCCTCGTCCTGAGAAATGGAACTTCAGTCGGCTGTTCCAGTTGCCGGCCCCCGGTCCTTGCCCTAGAAGCTGTCGTCCGACATGTAGGCAAAGTCGGAATCATCCTCGGTCGTCACATCCTCACCCTCTATCTCCGATTCAACGGGCCATTTATCCAACACTCGCCGCTGATTATCCGAGGGATGGAAGTGATGCTCAAATGCTGCACGAACCATCTTGCGGGTCCGCTGCTTGAAGATGCCGGGGTGCGAGACCACAAACTGCGTAGCGTTGTAGACAGAGTTGCGGTCCCTGGGGGTCTGCAAAGCCCACCCTTCGACCAGGATCAGATACAAGAGCCTAAAAGCCGAATCCCGCGCCTCGTTCTTGTATCCTTTGATTGCCATCTGTTCTTCGGGATCCCAGTCGTTCTTCCCTTCTCTCAGATCGTGCATCACATCCCGTACTCCACGGCCCGCGAGAACATCAACAGAGCGAGACTGCAGTGCTTCGCAAAGGGTGTCGTAGTCAGACAACTGTGTCGGCATTCGGCGAAAGAATTGGCGGAGGCCACTGCGCAGAGCATGATCAATGATATCGGAGAAGGAGGTGCCGTCAGGGATGGTTGGGAGGGTTGCGTCCTGGCCGGGGCGCGACGGGTCACTTGCGGCGTTCTTCTGATCGTCCGTGGGCTCAGCCCCCCCCTTGCTTTTCCGCTCCCATGTTGCGTACAAGTCGTCGGGCAGTGCCCGGGTGCCCTTGCCGACTAAAATGATCAGTCTCGATACGCCGTCGTACTGAACCAACGCGCTACGATCACCACTACGTCTCACCACTCCGATGATCTTTGTCAAGAGACCTGCCAGCTGGCGGAGATGGCCCTGGTTGCTGATCTCCCACTGGCGAAGTTCCCCAGTCATGTCTCGGAGCTGGACGTTGTCGAAGGTGCCGTTGCGGTGATAAGCAGCGACCAGGTTGGGAGTCTGTGAGATCCACAGTTGAGGAGAAACCTCAGCCATATCCAGCGTGCGGCTAGCCGCGCGGGTCTTGATCTCGAGAGTCGAAGACAAATCCACCACTTTGCCGTTGGTCTCAACAATGATCCCTGATGAGGGATTGATCTCGGTGCCCGACTTGGAGATGGAAAGACCTCCCAAGGTGTCCGACAGGTCGTCGGTCGGCCCTCGTGGGCTTTTGTCATCGAAGTACCCGTCAGTCTCATGCCGCACAAGACACTTGAGGCCGCCGAAGTTATACCCAACAATCCTGTGGTGGCCGGTGCTTCCGCTCGACGCCTTGGTGCAGGCTTTCTCGAAGTTATGCCCGTACCCCCTGAAGCCCGAGATGGTTTCCTTTGTCTTCTCTCCCATGCGCGTGAACAACGCGGTCTGGTCGCCGGCAATGTCGACTTGGATCTGGAACGGGTCGTAGGAGGATCCTTGCACGAATCGGAGGAGCTTGCGGATGTTGTTTCTATCCGTGACGAGATCGACGTCTCCGAGAGCAAATTCTGGGCAATCGATGGCAAGGGCGCGAAATAGGGGCTCGAGAGGAAACCGCGGGTTGCGCGCGGCATTTTGATCGATGAAGATTGTTCCTGAATCCGGAGCCAGCTTGAAGGGTACTGATGGCGGCGACCAAAGAGGGGGGGAGCCTTTGACGCCTTCATTAAAGTTCGTTCAATCTCAATGGCCTCATACAAGGGCTGCCTTACCAGGAACCGCGATGGTGGGTGCTGGCCTTTCGAGCCAATTGTAGGAAGTGACATGTCGAAGGTTGGTGATTTTGCCGTCGGCGGTCGAGAAATCAGCTAAATCCGAGCGAGATATCTCGGCGAGAATGCGAGAAGACATCTTCTCGCTTGTCATGATTGGATATTGACGACAATGTACAGTCACAATGGTGGGAATAAGGGAAGTTGCAACGAACGGGGTGGAAACAGGAAGGTGGAAAGCAGAAAACGGAGGGCGATCTCGTGGTCTCTTAACAGGTACCTCTGCAAGGGATGAGACCAGCCTGGAGCAAGGTGTTTGTGTTTCACAACATGCCGCACCGCTCTTTCCTGCGTCAACAGCCTTCATCTATCCAAGTCTAAAACTCCAACACCAATGGAAACCATGGTTGTGGATAACGTGGACCAATACCAAGTGGGACGGAAGGGTTGTTGCAGCGTATGGAAATACCTACCAACTCAATAACACTCAGGCCCTGGCTAGCTAGGTGACACAGGAAAGGGACGGGATGTGGTGAGGTCCATACCGTCACCGCTCCCGCAGTCCTCTCTTTCGGTGTTTCTGTCCTGCCGAGACCAGAATTCTACCTAACTTAGGCGATGCTTTGGAGCTTCGTCTTTCGCCCAATACTCCAACAAAGGAGGGTACCCATCATGTTCCAAGAAACAATTATACGTCCTTCCTGCGCCAAATCCTTCATGATTGAGGCTCGTCTCACCGAGCAGTGCCGCGTCAAACACACCCTGACCTCCTGCCAGCAATGCGACAGATACTTCGTGATTCTGGACCTGGGCTCACAACTAGCATAGGAGACCTTCATCCGCGCACAACGATCCAGTCCCACAGCCTACCTGGTCCTGACACCAACCTAACAGCGCACCTTCACCTCCCCAACCGCTCATCCTTGCCACCGTCACCACAAAGTATAGCCCCCCGGCCCACCGCGGTAACATACAGCATTCTCCCCTCATCTCTCCTCCCCACTTCAGGGCCCCCTTTAGGCCCTCCTCCAACCGCACTGCCACATGCTCTCCTGCCTCACACCAAAGGGCATCCTTCATCCCACCAGAGTTCCTTTTCTCCACTAACCGCCACCACCAACGCTGAACCCCACACCAAACCTAGCGCAGTATTTATGCCCTGCCAAGTAGAGTTCATTATCAGTCAAGTATAGATGGCTCGAACTTAGTCAAGATATCCGAAGGCTCATCCCAAAACTGTAAGGTCTGCGGACGAATGGCTGTCTGGTGTGAGGATAAGTGAGGGAGACATTGGAACATTACCTCTGTTGTTACACGTATTGGCAAGACGACTGGGCGGGCAGGCTCCTGGCTGCGATGCTGGCCATCAACAACATTGAGCCGTTTGGTGACGCAACGCCAATGGGGACTGGATCAACCGGTTCTCCGCATCCCACGGGTGGGTACCACGTCGACCCCAGTGCCCGTGAATTCGCCGAGGATGAAGAGAGAGATAAACAGCTTTTCACACAAGGCCAGTCGCCGGGGCTTAATTAACGGAGAATTGCCCATCCCATGATTGACAGAGGAAAGGATATTTACCCTCCGATCACCTAGCTCAGCCCCATTGGAGGTTGAGCCGGGGCCATGTGCAAGAGTCCGATCTTGCTTGTGAGGCAACAATGTTTCGCGGACATCGGAGATAATGTCTCTACCTCCGGAGGGCCACCCCATAGCTAGGTACGCTTAATCCTTGGAAGAACCATGGTTCAGGGAGCCATATGCTCTCAATAAAAGCTGGCTCGCCTTTGGGAGATATTCTGACCGTCAATACTTTCCAACTTTCTTCTCAACAGAGCCAACACACTCACAATCAACCGCCTTCAGCACTCGCTCGGTTCCGTCACGATGGTCAAGACGCTCCGCTTTGGCGACATTGAGGTCCCTGTCCCGGGCTTCGGAGCAATGGGCTTTAATCATGGTCTTGGGACAAACTTCACCTTAGAGCAAGCCGAGCCCGTTCTACTCAAGGCCCTGGAGCTTGGATGTACGTTCTGGGACACAGCAGTAAGGCTAGACCTCTTTTGACATCCGCGCATTTATCAGCCTATGCGTGACCACCGTAATTGTAATAATTGCCGCTGATACTAACACAACAAGGTTATCTACGGATTCGGAGTTAACGAGAAGCTCGTTGGGGATTTCATCCGCAAACACAATGTTCGCGACAAGGTCTTTGGTACGTTTCCAGGCCACGCGGGGATCTGGTCTCCTTGCGTTTATGATGTGCGGTTGTGCTTACACCAGATCTGTTTCACAGTTGCATCCAAATGCGGTATCGATATGTCCAAGACTGGTAGCAACATGGCCACGCCGCAGATGACCGTCACCAACAAGCCTTCCCACATCGGGGAATACATCGAGGGCACTATTGAGAGACTCGGATTCACCCCAGACTTGTACTACCTACACCGCATCGATCCTAGTATGATAGCCACCGAGTGTCTTGCGTAGCTTGATATCCGCTGACGCTGTCTGTCTGGTATCTAGACACGCCCCTCGAGGAGTCCATCCCCGTTCTTGATGAGTTACGACGGATGGGCAAAACCAAATACATTGGGCTTTCAGAATGCTCAGCGGCGACCTTGCGCAAAGCACACTCTAGTAAAGAACCATTACACGACCGGAACCGTTGATACGGCGTGCTAACAAGTTGACAGTTGCCAAGATCGACGCCGTTCAGGCCGAGTTCTCCGCTTTCGAGACGGTGCATGAGACAGATGGCCTGATCGATGCTGCCAGAGAACTCGGCGTGGCTTACGTTGCTTACGGTCCGCTAGGGCACGGTTGGCTGGTCGATGACTTTGCGTACACAGCCCCGACGATTTTGGTCCCACCGACGGCCGTCGCGGTAGTAAGTCTCCGTCCCCTTTTCTATGTTTTGACTGGTTCCACCTCCTGCGTTGTGTTCTCCCCCCCCCTTTTTGAAGCCGCAACAAGCGATGGACATGCTGATATCCATTTCACCCGCCCAGTCCCCAAATTCCAAGGCGAAAACTTCTACAAAAACCGCGCTATCGTCCCCGAGCTGCAGAAGCTCGCCGTCAAAAAGGGCTGCACCACTACGCAGGTCGCCCTGGCCTGGGTCGCCGCCCAGGGCTTCATCGCCATCCCCGGCACGACCAAGGCCCACCGGCTGGAGGAGAACTGGGCGTCACGGGACGTGGAGCTCACCGAGGCCGAGATGGCCGAGATGCGCCGCATCGTTGAGGAGGCCAAGCCCCAGGGTGCGCGGTATAGCGAGGCGCTGCAGAAGATGGTGGGTCACTGATGATGGACTTGGGCTATGTATAGTTTTTTTCACTTGGGAACCATGCAAGGAAAAGAACAGACATTATTCAGAGAGCGAAACTGGGTATGCACTGTGTAGTACGTTTGCTATGCTTCTTCTGTCAGGCCCTTTTCGAAAGCTGAGGCTGGCGCTGGCGCGTCATCAATCGCGAAGGAAATATCGAACACCTTGGTTGACCCGACACAGACATTGGGCTCAACCTCTTCCGATATTTCAAGCCGAACTTGGAGGTTAGGGTGCTGTTCAGTCAAAGCCCTGGATCCTCGGGACCAGCTCGCCTGTCCATCGTTGGACCATATGTCTGCCATGTCCAATAGGCTATCCTTAATGGCGTCAGTGACAAGATTATGTGCTTGCCAGTCGTTGTCAAATCTCGTCTGCTCCAGTAACAACATTTCCGGTGGGGAGCCCACCGAGTCCAGACTCGCCACCACAACATGCGGGAAACGACAGTTCCACCGAAAGCAAGCAAATAAAAATTTTAACTCAACGCGCTGGCTGCCGAGTCCGGGGACACTCCTGCCAGAGAGGATCCCTGATGCAATATACACGCACCGGCCTTCAGTGTCCGGGTCACGAGAAAAGAAGACTCCGTCCTCCGTGCTAAAGTGGCTTCTGGGCATTTGTTGAGCGCACCATGATACAAACGGCCCCCACCCGACTCGGATGGCCGACGACCTGTTATTCACGGCAAGATCGAGGTTCCGCAAGGGGAACTGCGTTGGGAGTCTAGTAACCAGTGTAACCAGTTCAACCACCACATGTCCCAGCCAAAAGACAGTCGCCTGATGTCCCCTCCAAAGCCTATGAGGCCTTGACCTGACATATAGGCTGGGGCCAATCTTCCGGACGTAGACCCCAATGTAGAACCCATCCATCCGACAACGAGTATCCAACGCAAGGACCGCCTGTAAACCTTCACACGACGTGGCTGGAACTAGGCTGGCCTCTGTTTGTATCCCTCTTGTGGTAATGGCGAAGTTAGCATAGGCCGAGCTGTTCACCGGTGCTTCCATTTCCCGCGAAGGGGGCGGGACTGGTGGCCAGCATGCCCGCATATTTAGGGCAAGTGTCGGATGTGTCGGCCCAGGCAAAGATGCTCAAATCCGGCGTCGTCTGGAGGATAGCGGCCTGTAGTCGAGCAAACGCCTTGATGCCCTCGCCGTAGATGAGGGACAAGTTGACATCGAAAATCCCCAGCAGGCAGTATGCCATGTCCTCCAAACGCGTCGTCTCCCTGTTAGCGGCCCACGACATCCTCCGCGCCACCCCGATGTCACCCAAATCCGCCTGATGGCAAAGCACCGTCACTGGGATATTTGTGATTCCATAAAGAAGCGGCGCCAGTTCCTCCTTACTACCGCGGTAATTCCACTCCCGATCAAAAAACAGCACCTTCCTCGGCGCCACCAACTCCTGCAGCGTCCACCAGCGGGAAAACCACCGACAACCCGGCAAATCCCTGCGTAAATCACCCTCCTCCCCCGGCTCAAGATCACTCAAATACACATAACACACCTCCGCATCGCGGTGCCACGCAAACATAGAATTGATCGCCTCCGACAGCTCCGCGCTACTCCTCTTATAACAATACAACACGTATCGACCCACGCATATTCGAGGGCGTCGCGCGTGCGGGGAAGAGCGCAGGCGCGCTGGACCTTGTCGAAGCGTGCGCGCCCCTGCAGCGCGAACAGGTCGGCGGCGGCGAGATGTTGGAGGGTCACTTCCGTCGTCGACCCAGGTGTGCGAGAGGATGGCGTAGGGCGGGATGTGCGAGCCGATGAACTCGCGCAGGTGGGGGATGGCGGTCGGGGTCGTTGAGAGGAGGCGCATTGTGCTTGTATGGGGTGCTGTACTGGGGGGGGGAGGGGGGGAGGTGGGTTTGGGAGGGGTGGTGAGGGTTGGAGATGGACGGTGGGTTGGATGTTGGTGAGCGATGCCCCTGAGCCCCTGATTCAACGATGTTTGTTGAATCCCGATTTGCGTCTTGTCCCCTTCCTCGGCCTTGGGTCGTGTACTGAATGTTGAGGGCTGAGATCCTGCATCTACAAAAGGCTCGGTTGGGCTGTGAAGGGTGGGCAGTTGGGTTGCCAATGTCGCTTCACTGGTTGGCTGTCCATTTGCTTTGCCCCCAATCCCTTCTGGGTACCCACAAGATAGGCATCCTTTGCCGGTCAGCCACCTCTATTATGTCCCGGCACCAGGAGCTGCCAAATTACTCAATCTTCAACGATTGTGGGTGTGAAAAATAATTAGGGGTAACAATCGGTACCATCATTTCCAAGCCTGTAAGCTTGAATACAATGAGTCGAAACAACCTGTTCCTTAATCATATGGTATTTAGGTTTTCCGTAAATTGTGACCACGTCCTCACCTGCTTCGGCTGCCGCCCTCAGGGCGGCGAGAACGACCTCAACCACCTCAGCCTCGTCTTCCTCCAGGTCATCGGGCAGTTCGCCGCCAACCTAGAAAAGCCTCTCCCGCCGCCCGCTGTTAAGCAACCACCCAACCATCGGATAGTCGTTCCGACTTCGGCGGCACCAGCTACACGGCCGCGGGGCCCGGCATCCCGGGCAGCGCGTGCCACACCATCCCCAAGGGGCACCGGTACCGCGCCGCGCCAATCACCTAATTACTACGCCTACGACCGGCAGACCAACCCCACCACGCGATGCACCCTGCAGTTGTTTGAAGGCTTCGACTGTGATGGCATGATTGGGCCGTCGTTTAGTTCTGATGCTAAGAAGGCGCTGTAGCAGGGTTGGCGGAATCGCGCGTCGTGCTTTAAGACGACTTGCAAGCGTGTTTACGGGGTTGTGGTCGGTTGGAGGTCAGAGAGGGTGGGGAAGTGGGGGGGCGGGTAAAGGGGTAACCGGAAGGATCATGACGCTGGTGACTGCAGTCGTGTACATACCTAGATGAAGGGCCTCTGGAATCAATACATGTCTGCAGCCAAGCCGATGGTGCTGGTAGAATTCAACACCTCATTGACAAACTGCTAAGAATCCCGGCGTTGACAGAAGGTATCGAGTGGTGGACAAGGTATTGAAGCTTTACGTGATGATAAGCCGTCAGCGCGCAGCAGTGAGGCCTACGACAGGATGGGTTGTTACACAACCGCGAACCCCTCAGAGATCCTGGATTCTGTGAACTTTGTGAAAAATGACTGCCCTTCGACTTCCAGTTAGAAGGCCTTCCTCCCATCGACATCCTTTCACAGATTACCCCATCTCCGTAGCCCCAAACAGGCGAATTGCTGCTTCGAACGTCATCCTTTCATCAACGTCATGGGCATCGACTGCGGTTTCGACATTTTCCCCAGGCTGGACGCCGGCAACGCCTTGGACAGGCAGGCATACCGAGAATTTCTGGACGAGATTGTGGAAAAATACCGAGATTCATACAAAGAGAAAGGCAGCAACGTCACCAAAGTCCTCCGACTGCCCCCTACAGAGTCCGGAGCAGAGTTTCTGACCAATACCTAACTACATTTACTTCGCAGTCGGTGAATGGCCAAAGATCCCCACAAACCCCCAACGGTGCGTCTATTTCCTTCGCTTCAGTTCCAATATCAGTGGTAGCCAGAGGCACGCCGAACCCTATATCGATGGCGTGCACTTGATCGCCCAGAAGCACTTCGGGGCCCGCGTTAAGTGGTGGCATGAACGGAACGATTTTGAAGGGGATCGGACGAAATGTAGGGGTTACTACAACTGGAGTGAAGTTCACGAGGAGGATAAGAAGCTCAGAACGTTGATGACGGAAGAAGAACAGCGCGCGGAGCAGAACTGTTTCAAGGTGTTGGAAGTTGTGGCACTTGGCACTCGGACATTCGGTTGCAGAACATGTATGGCTACCCAACGTGGGCGCAATGCAGCCTACGTGGGGGGAGGCCAAGAGCTGACGACGAGCTATTTTACACAAGATAAGGGGAAGGACAGACAGAAACAAGGACAACCTTCAATTGATGACTTCTGAGCTGCTCCGAGAATCCCAACCAGACTGTTGTAAGCTCCATCATCTGTGAGATAACCGTGGAATCGTGGCTGTTGGTCTTCCAACACAAGGATTGAATATAGGGCGGACTGGATGTGGAGGAACTCGTTTCGGCTTCCAGCATAGCCTTTGTCTGTTGGCCACAAATTTGTATCACCAATAGCAGACCAGATTTCTGCCACATACGAATAGTGTGCAACATCGAGTCTGGTGGTGCCTGCATACAAAATATGAGGGACAGTGTGTTCAATTTGGGCACCAATTCGGGTTTCACAACATCCCACCCAGCTCCGACTCGTGCCCATGGTATAAATAATCCGAAGGTATTGGGAGTGAGGCAATGTCAATCTTGCTCTCATATGCCATCTTCCCTCACAGATCGCAGAAGAATCTCTTCATTTGTGACCGCGACATCGTCAGAGCATACCCTACCAAGGGACCATAACAGAGGATGGAGGACTTCTCACCGCACCAGCTTGACCCGGTCCACGAACGTGACTTCAAGCTCTACCACGTCTACGATGCATTATACCCAAACCCCTTACGAGCGCGGCTACGGGATCGAAGCGGGCGACAAGAACACGTACTACATGCGCTACTGCTGCCGCATCAATCTCCGCCTCATCGAAAAACACCTCGATTGGAACCAGGAGGAACCGACGTCCTTCATTTCCCTTTTTGACACGCCCGAGAGCGCATTGAAGGAAGCCCGGAGACGGATGTCGCATCGGACCGTCCGCCGAAAGGGCAAATGGTGCCGCCGAGGCCCTGTCTTTGTTGCTGTCATCTCTCCCCACAGCATGGCGGAAGAGGGGGTATTTTTCTTCTCCGCGCGCGACTTGACGTCGGATAGGATGTTGGATGGGTGCGGCGGGCAACTGGCTGGTAAATTAGGCTCGCGAGAATGGTTCGCCATGGACTATATTCCTGATTCGGCCGTTGAGCTTGTCGTGGGCAAGGACTCCTTACGGAACACAGGATGTGAAGGTGACTGGAACTAGGCCTCTAAGATTTGGGGCGGTCCTTCGGACAAGGTACATGGCTTCTTACTTCAGGTTACGGCCATGTTCTTGTTTCCAGACTTTCACCTTGGGCGCCGTTGATAGCTTGGAGTGGTCCATCTGGTATATGCGGTCAAGCTCGAAGAGTGGCCCATCAGATTTAGCAATATCATCCATTGGACGAGTCAATAGTATTATTCCTACACCGCTATGCCCTTGGGCTCGCCGGTCCAACTATCTAGCTAGTTGTACAGGAAAACCGTCCTGGTTTCCCAGTCAGACTAAAAACCTGTACCGATGTTACCTTGGCCCGTCTTCTTCAGAATTTGTCATGCTACGGTTTAAGGGAGCTTACCCAGCTCCCTGCATTCCGACATCCTGATCGTCCGCCTGCAAGGTATCCGTGGCCTTTGGAGTCGTAACCCCTAGGCCCCCAACACCGTCTCCTCGGTCTCCGATCAGATCCGTATCAACCTTCCTCGCAAAGGTCAGCTTTCCTTGCCTCGAACTCCTTGCAGCCTCCTCCTGGGCTATGAGAAAGCCGGGGGGTCGGCCCCGTGGTCCTTGGAAACCATCGTCAGGGTGGACGCACCCCGGAATGTGACGCTCCGCATCCTCGGTAGTAGTCTCTCTTGCTGATGTTGTGTTTGTTGCTGCAAAGCAAGCTCAAAAGTTCGAGGCCGGAAATGGTATGCCTCCCTCGCCGCACCCCCGGCCTTCATTGCTTCCGGGCACCACCGTACCCAGGACGGGTGCTTCCATGAGCAGCACGGACAAAAGTATGGAATCTCGTTGCCGTGGGTTGGGCATCGGGCTTTCCCCGCCCTCCCGCCTCCCCCATGGGCCGCTGTGCCGCAGCGCGGGCACAGCGCAGACTTCTTGCAGAACCGTTGGGTGCAAGGCTCCTCACAAATCAAATATTTCGCAACCAAATAAAATACTTGGCAAATAAGCCAAACCAAATACGGCCCTATATTTGGCAAATAAAGGGCCACATTTGCCAAGCTTTATTTGGCTTATTTGACTTATTTGCCAAGATTAATGGGTTCCACACACATATATAACCCTAACCCCAGACTACACCGTCGAGACCGTCTTCTTTCAAGGCTGGCACCTGCACTCGCACCCCTGGCCGAGGAACTGGCCGATTCGTTCAAAAACGCAAGAAAAATTAGAACTGGCCAAATATATTTTTTGCCCAATTAGGAGATTGCCAGCCCACACCGCCCGCGCATCCATCCGCGCACCCACCAGAATTGGGTGGGAAAGAGAGAGGTCTGAAGCGGTGGTTTTCGTGGGCGGTGATCTTGATGTCCTGGGCATGCAGGCCGGTGGATGGATGCGCGGGCGCGCGGGCGGTGCAGGCCCGGCAATTGCCTAAATGGGCCAAAAATATATTTGGCCAGTTCTGAATTTTATTGCATTTTTGTACGATTCAGCCAGTTCCCAGCCCAGGCCTGGCCCAGCCTGGGTGCGGGTGCGAGTGCGGGTGTGGGTGCATGCAAATGCTCGCCCCTGAAAAACGAGGTGTGGTTCAGGGTTAGGGTTATGAGCCTATGGGTATGTTGGCTTATTTGGACAAATACCCAAATAAATATGCAACCTAGCCAAATAAATAAAATATTGGGGCGTGCCAAGCCAACCAAATAAAATAGGGGGTCTTATTTGAGTTTGTGTAGGAGCCTTGGTTGGTGTGTGACTCCCATTTCACAGTCACCTATAGCACTGGGTAGCCTGCAGCGCAGACCAGCTACGGCTCGCTAAAGTTGAGCATGCTGGGACCCGCCAAACCACTCCCTCCTGCGCAGGGCCCTCTTTCGATTCTTCCTGAGCTGGTCATAGTAACCAGTGCCGTCCAGGGTCCGGAGCAATTACACGGAAATACACATTGCAGTTGAATTGCAGCTGCAACGCCCCACATAAATCAATGCAACTGATGTTGCACAAAACGGGTGGCGGGAGATACGGTACGGCGGGTCAACGACAGGGGCTTATTGGGCCCACCAGACTGGGCCCAATGCAGCGTTTCTAAGGGCACAGAGGCTCTCCTTTTCTTCCAGTTACATCAATCAGACTGTCAGACAATTGCATCACGAATTGAAGCCTCGGATCAGTGACCTTGAATTCGCTCGACCTTCGCGAACGTCGCCACTCCATCCGTTTGCACGTCTGCCGCTTTCAATTCCAGGCTGTTTCTATGGAAGACGTGATAGTCGTTCTAGGCGGCGCTACTGAGGCGGCGGTGGAGACGGCTGTGGCACGCAAGACATGTACTAATTGCAACACCGAGCAAAACATTGAGCAGTTTCTGCCTTCCATCCGACGTACTCCTCTCGACGAGTTCAACCAAACGCATGCGCTGCTCTCGCTAGCTTGCCCGACCCTGTTTCCTCGAGGGGTTGCGGACTTCGTTGAACCTAGACAGCGCAAGATCTCCTACCAGGATTACATCCAGCATGCCATGAAGTGGGAAGATGGCCGATTCGCTAAATATCACAGCTTCCGATCCATCGCGCTAAACAGTCTGATGAGGCAGCAGGCAAGGGGTCACAGTCGATTCTACGTCAGCAAGAATCACCGCACACCTCTCGGATCTATCGCGAGACACCATCACGAGCTATGGGGTTGGAATTGTCCAATCACGCTATCAGGCAACTGCAGGCGTTAGATGCTGTGGCGGGGAAGGATCCCTCAGAGGAGTCAATAGGTATATAAGTAGCGACGACGAGAGTGTAGATGCATCAGCGCTTGGAACGATAATAGAAATGATTGGTATAGGTGGAATAAGAATTTCGAGTGAATGGAGTTGTTGGCCGACGGACAGATATTGACGCTTCGTCTCTCCCGTATTCAACCCTAACCCGGATTGTCCTCCGGAGAGGGACAGGAAAATTGCCAGGAGCGGGAGAGAGGAAGGAAGCGCCCCGTAGCGTAGCGAAGGGTCGTGCGACTGACGAACGAAGCGACGCCAGCAATTTTAGAAGCTAGAGAAAATGAACTGATACTACTAATTCATTTCTTTCATGATTGGTTTCTGATTGTGGGTACCCAACGTTTTGCCTGCCTGCCTTCAAGCGCTGCAGCCTTCCCAGCACCCACCATGGTGTTGTGCTGCGCCGCCAGGCAAGTTACGTCCTGTACCTAGAGTCTGCGACACTGTTGCCTGGCTCACACCCAAGGCCCCGAGGTATCGAGCTCAAGGTGCCCTGTCCCCAGCCTTGGCGATTCATATTTGTGTAAGCCGAATTCAGACTCCACACTTTCGTCTCCCTCCCTATCATTGATGCCTTTACCAGGCAACGAGAAGAGCCCTGGGGGCCGAGACTAGGTTAGGCGACCTGCTGGCCGCGGAAAAGGTGGCCCGTTTTTGCTTCACACACAATGAATGAAGGGCATGCGCTGATCCACGGTCTCTTTGTCGGTAGGTATTCCAGTTTGACTTTTGAGTCCGACGCTAGAAGGGTTTCACCTTTATGTAATTATGCCTTCAGTGCCTGCCTACCGCACCTAGATAACGGGTATACTAGTAGTTAGTGTAGGATGTTCGATTGTGGACCATACCACCTTTGATGATAAATAAATACATGCGCATGAGCCATGATAACTGTTTCGACAGCAGATCATCAACAACCAACTTCAACAGACCAACCTAACATTTGGAACATAACGTACCAAGATGAGCGCCAGAACTCCCAGAACTCCCACCAATACCGGAGCCCCCGCAAACAGCGGGAACGCTGCAAATGCCGGCAACGTTAGAAACGCCGGAAACACTGGAAATGCCGGAACCGCCAGAACCACGACAACCCAGTTGCCTCTGTTTAGCGCCGAAATCGAGGTTTTCATCAAGGTCAAACCCAACGTCGAAGCTGACGTTAAAGAAAAGAAGAGCACGAACCCTTCTTCTCTGCCACCCTTTTGGCGGGATTGGGACTTTGACCTCCACAACGACGGCGATGGTAGAGCCGTATCCGCACAGCAGACACGGGCTATTAATGCCGTCAAAGCAACCATCGACGGGGTTTTAGGAAGAGACAACGGGTGGAAGTGCGGCATAGACAGGTCCATAAGGGATGATTGGCTCCAACTCGGCCCGCAGACCGAACCAAGAAAGTGGTGTACGTATACGTATATCCTCACAAGGTACTTTTTTGTTTCCGGATGCTAATAACCACAATAAAGGGGGAATCGAAATTACCACGCCACTAATCTCGGTTTCGAAGCAGTGGCAGCCCGAGATCAACGCGGTTTGGGAAGGACTTGGCAAGAAGTTCGACTTTTGGGCCGACAACATGTGCGGCCTCCACGTCCACATATCACCCGGGCCAACCAGGGAAAACCGTTACACCCTGGACCAGATTGTCAAAATAGCGAAGGGGACTTATTTCTGGGAGATGCCGCTGGCCCACCTTGTCCCTGCGGACCGCAAGTATAACCAATACGCCGAACCAAACAATACTGTCTTCGCGTCCGGTGAATATATGGGCGTCCCGGGTGGCGGCTGGAGCAAAGTCTTTGCGAAAATTGAGAGCGCTGCCACTTCTCGGGATAACCTCCTGGACGCGCTGAAAGGCGGAAGAACAGGCTCGAGGGGCTGCACAACAAATCTCTCAACCAACTTTGCCCCGGTCTCCGAGAAAGGAACCATCGAGCTGCGTCGCCTGGCCAGGGCTGCCTCAGCTCTCAGCACCATCCGTGGTATCCTTCTGGCCGTCACGTTGCATATCAGCGCTCTCCGTTACGACTTCGACAGGGCCAGCAGCCGGAAGGACCACCCCGACGACGACGAACTGGTCAAGGAGCTTGCTGGCTGCATCAAGCGGCTTCCCGAAACATGCCACGGTACTCGCTTCGTCCACTGGCTCAAATGGTGCCAGCAAGTCAACACTTCTGGCAACGCCTTCCATCCCGCGCAGATCAACACCAGAGAAGAAGCCTACCGCAAGGGACTACCCTCACCCACTCAACCGACCTACCGCCCCCGCAGCGAGGAATGCCCTCCCGAATTCTGCATCCTCCCCACATACGTCCTGGCCCCCCAAGCCCGAGCCGCCGCCGAGCTCGCAGCCCAAGGAACACGACCCCCCCCCCAAGGAAAGCCCACCGCCAGCCCCCGAGGCGGCAACAACCAGAGCACCTCCACCACCTCGCGAACCACCGCCGCCCAGGGCGCCAACAAACGCACAGGCCAGGACTCATCCACCGCCTCCCGCTCCCCGCCAATTCAAGCCGGACGCGGCGGCGGCGCACCAGCCAGCGGACGAGGCGGCGCCGCAACCCGAGGCAGGGGCGGGGGAGCCACGACCGGGGGCCGGGGAGGCGGCGGCCAGGGCGTGTCGACCGCGACGGCGCGCTCCCCGACGGCTAATGCATCGCCTTCGACGGGTGGGTCGCGCACGACGCGTCTGCCGGAACGTCCCGCCGCGGCGTCGTCTTCTTCGAGGACGGCGGCTAACGGCGCGAGTAATGCCGCTAGTGGCCAGCGCCGTCGCCAGCAGCAGGGTGAGGGCGCTTAGGTTGGGAGGTGCGATGGTGGTGGGTTGGGGTTGGAGGGGGGTGGGGTTGGGCGTGGTAGGCGTGTCTCGTGTGGCGGTTGGGAAGATTGTCGCACGGGGCGTGGATGCGTTAGGTATGTTCTTGGTTGGGGCTAGAGTTTTTGTGCTGGTTCACGGTTACGAAAGATCTACTTGGGAACTAGGGCGTGGCCCGCTCACCAGAGGGAGCAGGACGGTGTTTTTCTGCGGGTTGTTTTCTATTGCATTTTAGGCCAATGTATTTGATCGAGGGCGCTGGCGTCCCCGGGCGTTTGGGGACAAGTAGATCATTGAATTATTTTCAGCATTTGTAACAGTGGCTCTATTTTCAGGAAACGGTGACCACGGTCATCCGGCTAGGGGGGTATGAGCAGGTACCTCCCTACCTGGGCGTATCGATACTGTAATCGTAGGGTCCCCTGCAACGACAGTTGCGTTGGGCCATCTCCCTGGCATTTACATCACAACATGCCGATGAGACAGTCGCCGCCAAAGACACGTTGGGCGAGGACGAAGGTGTGTGATTTAGTCACTGGTGCTGGAAAACAACGAGTGTTGATGGATTGGGTGACGTGATCAGTTTGCTTACGACAAAGCCAGGGCCGGCATTTTTCGTGGTACGCATGCCGGATGGGAAATGGGACCCCTGACCGGAAATAGGGGGCATGGAAGTGCAGTATCAAGTGCAAATCTCTATGGAGGTCTTCAAGAGGCACAGTGCCTCGGATCCGAAAGCAGCTCCGAAGCGCAGGCAGCCTTTTTACCACTCGGTGCTTTTTTCACCTGGATTGACTGGCCAATTGGCGTTTTTAGCCGTTGCTGCTTATCGTGAACTGTTTCGGAATTAAGGGGTCTCTTTCATAAATCCGGACGTTGTGTCGAAACGGTGACCTCCATAATACCACCAAGGCATATCGAAGCCCCCCACGTGTATCAAGAGCAACGGAGAATTACCAACCATTGCTCTGTACGTACCGAGGGAAGACCACCATCATCGAAGCCGCGGAACTCCGAGCTTCGCCGCCTTTCTTACGTCCAACGCAATTCATACCATCCGACTCAAATTGTCTGCGCCTTTAAATACACGGGAGAATTAGTTTTTAAATAATCCAGGTTCCCGCCGAGACTGACTGCCTAAAATCCCCCGACACCGTGCCTGCGTACCTGTCTGGGTGCCGAAATCGCGTCAGTCATGGCAAAAGCCGAACCAGCACCATGGCCCGACCGCGACACAACGGCGCCATCCACCTGGTCCGACACATCAGCGACGGCCAACAACCATTCCGAACCCGAGCCAGACCACGGCTACGCGACCGACAAACCGGACCCGTCCACAGCAGCTCCCACAAATGCGCCAACCAACAACCCCCCCTCCGACCCTCCACCCCCTGATACCCTAGCCCCCCCCGACGGCGGCGTGCTAGCCTGGATGCAAGTCGTCGCCGCCTTCTCCGTCTTCTTCAACACATGGGGGATGCTCAACACGTTCGGCGTGTTCCAGACCTACTACGAGTCGGGCGCGCTCTTCCAAGGCACCAGTTCCTCGACCATCTCCTGGATCGGCTGCATCCAGGCCTTTGCCGTGCTCGCGACGGGGCTGCTCAGCGGGCCCATCTACGACCGCGGCTACCTGCGCCACCTGCTGGCGGTGGGGTCGTTCCTGGTGGTGTTTGGCTTCTTTATGCTGAGCATCTGCAAGACCTACTGGCAGGTGCTGCTGGCGCAGGGGTTTTCGGTGGGGATTGGGGCTGGGCTGCTGTTTGTGCCCACGGTCGCGGTGCTGCCGACTTACTTTAAGGCTCGGCTGGGGCTTGCTGTGGGACTGGCTGCCGCGGGTTCGTCCGTGGGCGGGATCATATACCCTATCATGTTCTACAACCTGCTGGATAAGGTCGGTTTCGGGTGGTCGACGCGCATTATGGGCCTTCACCGCCCTTGCGACCTTGGCGGTACCACTGGTGGTTCTGAAGATGCGCGTGCGGACCGGCCAAGCCGCGCGAGATATCGACTGGTCCGCTTTACCGACTGGCGTACGTCGCCTTCACCCTGGGGTGGGATGGTGGGTTTTATCGGGCTGTACGTGATGCTGGTGTACCTGTCGTACTTTTCCGCTGCGTCTGGCGTCGCCGACCCAGCCATGGCCTTCTACCTGGTCCCGATTCTGAACGCCGCCTCGACATTTGGGCGCACGCTGCCCAACTACCTGTCGGACAAGATCGGCCCGCTGAACCTGTTCGGTCCCGCGGCCGCAGTGTGCGCCGCCCTCACCTTGTCCATGATCGCTGTCACAAACCTCGCCGGCGTGACGGTCATTGCGCTTCTCTACGGCTTCTTCAGCGGCGTATTTGTGGCGCTGCCGCCGGTCTGCTTCGTGCATTTGACCAAGGACAAGTCGAAGATTGGGACGAGGATCGGGATGGGCATGGCGACTTGTGGGTTGGGTGTTCTCGCTAGCGGCCCTGGAGGCGGCGCCATCATCGGGACGGATCCAGCGAACCTCCACTGGCACCGTTTGTGGATTTTTGGCGGCTGTTTGATGATCGCCGCGGGCATCATACTTTCCGCCGTGAGGTTTTGGCTCACCAAGGGAAAGTTGTTGGTCAAGGTATAACGGATGCTGAGGAAAAGATCTTAGAGTCGGTATCTGTGCGAAAGTTAAAATGTAATATTGTCTATCTTGTACATACTTCTACTTTTGGGTCCCTGTAGAGTGGTCGGCAAGGCCCTGGATACCCAGGTCGAGGGACCGGTGCAGTTCCCTGTCGTGGGCCGATATGTGCCAGAGCAACTCGCGCATTCGATGACGTGCTCAGACGGTGAGACACAGCACGAGTCCGACCGTTTGGGGCCGTCTGACATGCGCAATCTCCGACAAAACTCTGGCTTTGTCGGCGTTAAGCTTAATAACATTCCGCGTTAAAACGGAGCGGGTGTGTTGGACTACGAGGCATCGGGGAAACTATTATTCCTTAATTCGAGGACCTACCGAGGTATCATCAAAATACTCCTTGATTACAGGGGTTGGGAGTATCTTGATAATTTACTGCGATATGGGTACCTATTATACAATGCTTGATGAACAACCAGGCAGCAACGGCCTCGTTGGGAGACAAGCCTGAAGCAAACGAGGTATGATTTATTCAACTCAAGCGCGAAGGCCCGATGAATTCTTTCCTCGCCCACTTTGCCTTCTAAGGTTCAATCTTGATAGAGTCGCCATTAGACAGCTAGAATGTATGTTTGGGACCATTCAGCTGTGAATGCTTCCCATGTTATTACTTGCAGGAAAGGCCAACAACTTAATCTTGCCTCCGCATCCGCCTGAGGACTCCATGCTTCCAGGACTCTCTTCTTTTGGCAGCCGAAGCTTTGGGATTATGTTTCAAACCACTTACACCGAACCACCCACATTCCAGAACCTCCACAAAGACTACATGTAGCATGACTACCATTAATATACCCTGGAAGTTTCTCCTAACCGGTTTTGACACTTTATCCCAGCATTTTTAAGGTTGATTAATCCAGGGAAAGCGTGAAACCAAAAGCGAAACATCCCCAAAAGTGGACTAGATGGCCGTCTCATTGTCTGAGTGTAGAATTTGATCGGCCATGCTTGATGGATTCTACTGCCCCGACCCCGATACCCTTCTTCCAGGCCTTTGTCGATCTGTGGAGGCTGGAGCACAGAAGGATGCGGAGTGGGGCATGTTGCTGACGAGGAGGACTGGTTAGGTATTCACATGAGAATCGTGTAGTAGAGGTAAGTAGGTATGTGTGATGGAGGTCCTTTGAATGAGACGGGACGGCTGTTCGCTTCACATTATAGGACTTTATATTTGTCTTCTTTTCAAGGTGGACTTCAAGGTTTTCATTTTATCACCATTCTGTCCCTGAGCTTTCACTCGAGATGTTGTCGTACCACCTTGGAGCGCGAGTTGTGGAGTGAGGATTAACCGTTGGAAGCTTAGCAGTTCTTGGCTGTTATGCGGGGCAATTAGGCTATTTCACAAGTCTCTTTTCCAACGCTCACTTTCATTCACGGCTGTTGTTTACCAGGTTAGGATGAACAACAGACAACAAGGTGCCCCGCCCCAGGCACAGAATTTCTCCATCAATGGGAAGTTGTGTTGAGACATCTAGCCTTGGTTGATTCCAGAATATAAGTTTAATAGTCTGCACTATGGTAAATACCTTGGTGACAGTCGTGCTTGTTGTGCCTGCGTCCATCCCGATTAACCATGCGTCGCCAACTCCTCACCGGATTGGCCGTTGCAAGCCTTCCATTGACCTGTCTTTCGTTGCTCGAGGAAAGATTCGTGGCATTCGACAACCGGGACGTTGCAAGCTCACAGCTGGCCATCACCAACGCCCCGATTCTTGTTTCCCAGGATGACTTTGTTGGAGTGCACATTGCCGCGAATAGCCTCGCACGGGATCTTCGTGATATCACCGGTGTCCCGAGGGCGGTCAGCAATGCGACCTTGTCTAACATCACCGCAAAAGCAGACATCGGCACCGTCATCGTGGCTGGCTCTGCCGACTCCTCGTTGATCTGCGACCTCGCAGTTAACGGACACATCGACATTTCCGACATTGAAGGCAAATGGGAGACGTTCAAGACTACCGTGATCAAACTCCCGGCTCCTAGCAATGGTCAGGCTTTGGTCATTGTCGGGAGCGATAAAAGGGGCACCATATTTGGCATCCACACTCTCGCCGAACAATCCGGCCAGTCCCCCTATCACTGGTTTGCCGACGTACCAGCGCAGAAGCACGCCCAGATATTGGCTCTCAATAAAACAACCATCCATGGGGAGCCCACCGTCAAGTACCGCGGCTTGTTCATCAACGACGAAGAGCCTGCCCTCAACACGTGGTGGGCCCGTCGCCATAACACGACGCGCTACCCCCTCGACACCGAGTTCTACGCTCACGTTTTTGATCTTCTCCTGCGTCTAAAAGCCAACTACCTCTGGCCCGCCATGTGGAAGTCCTTTACGCCGCCGCCGGGAAATATCTTCTTCACAGACGACCCAGGCAACCAGCAATTGGCGGACGACTACGGCATCGTCATTTCGACATCCCACCACGAACCTCTTCAGAGGGCCACGAATGAGTGGAACGAGACGAAGTTGGGGCCATGGGACTGGTCGACAAACAAGGACAACATTACAAGGTTCATGGACGAGGGCGTGGCGAGGGCAGGGCATAACGAATCGTACTTCACCATTGGGCTGAGGGGGCTCGGTGATGAGGCAGCCAACACGGAGAACGCGATCGAAATGCTGAAAGATGTCTTTGAGACCCAGAGGGGCATCATAAAAAAGTACCACGGCTCTGAAACAGCAGTGAACCAGGTCTGGGCGTTGTACAAGGAGGTTGCATCATATGACGATGCGGGCCTGAAACCAGCTGAGGACATCACATTACTGTTCCCGGACGACAACCAGGAGAACGTTTACCGACTGCCCACCGGGAACGAGATTGAGCGGGAGGGTGGCTCGGGAATCTACTTTCACTTTGAGTACGTCGGGCTGCCGCGGTCGTATAAGTGGCACAACACCAACAACCTGGCCAAAGTTTACAAGGAGCTTTCCCACGCTCATCTCCGTGGCGCGAACCAGATTTGGATCATGAATGTGGGCGATATCAAGCCCATAGAGCTACCCCTGAACCTGGCCATGGACCTTGCCTGGAACGCTTCAAGCATCAGTTATGAGTATCTGCCATCGTACCTTGCCCAGTTCGCCGCTCGAGAGATTGGATCTGCGCATGCCGGGGATATTGCTGAGGTCCTGATGGAGCATTCCCGACTCATCGGTATGCGGAGGTACGAGCACATCACGCCGGCCACCTACTCCACACTTAATTACCACGAAGCAGAAAGGATCCTCGCCCTATGGCAGTCACTTGCCGCTCAAGTCCGTAATGTGGCATCACAACTCGATCCGAACTTACACCCTGCATTCTTCCAGTTGGTCGGCCACCCCGTCTTGTCAGGGGCTACATATCACTCCATCGCGATCAACACGGCATTCAACTACAGGTACGCACTTGAGCGGCGAAACTCGGCCAACCTCCTTGCATCGCAGGTCCTGGCGGATTTCGAGACAGCCTACGACCTCGTCGAGGAATGGGATGACATGCTAGAGGGAAAGTGGGCGGATATGATGTCCCAAGCCGTGTATGATGCCGTCGAAGAGCCCAAGATGTGGGCTAACCCGTCGCGGGACATTCTCGCCAATCTGTCCTACGTCCAACTGCGCCAGAATATGCAGTTCTCCCTGGGAAGCCTTGGCCTGTACGCCGAAGGGTCATCCAACCCCGTTCAGCAAGGACGGTGGGCAGAGTCGGTCGACGCATCCATGCCAACGACTGACTTCGCTCCGGTACTCCCGCAGATGGACCCCTATGGCCCCAGCGTGCGTCACGTCGACGTATTTATGCGCGGTGACTATCGCGTCCCGCTGACCTGGGCCCTCGACCCGCTGCCAGTTCCCTGGCTCTCCATCACACCTGCAAACGGCACCTTAAACAAGGACCACCCCGACGCCCGGCTGAACGTCACCATCGACTGGCTGTCCGTTCCCAAGGATCTCAACGACACCCTCCTCGTAGGAATCAGGTCCACGCCGGCCCGGTACCCCTATTTTGACCAAATCCACATCCCAGTGCTCAACTTCCAGGCCCCTCCATCCTTCACGGGCTTCCCCGAATCAGCCGGCTACATCTCGATCGAAGCACCGCACTTCTTACCTTCTTCCAACAACGCTACTACCACCACCACCACCACCACCACCAACAGCACTTACAACGAAACCACCACCCCCATCTCCCTCGTCCCCATCCCCCACCTCGGCACACGCAGCACATCCGGCTCCCTCGCGCTCCCGCCCCTTCCTCGCCGCGCGCGCCAACCCCACCGCCGCCCAATCCGCTTACGCCACCTACCCCATCTACCTCTTCACCCCCTCGGCCAACCTCACCGCCACCATCTACATCAACGCCGGCCTGGACACGGACCCCAACCTCAAAATGGCCTTCTCCCTCACCTTCGACGACCAGCCCGCCAACTTCACACGCGTGCTGGGGGAGTACGTCGACAATCCGCATGCGGGGGCTGTCCCGCCGGAGTGGTATGGGGGGTGTGGCCGATCAGGTGTGGGTGAAGAGGGTGGGGTTGGGGAGGGTGGATGCGGGTGAGCATAGGGTGGTGTGGAGGGTGAATTCGCCGGAGGTGTATTTGGAGAAGATCGTGCTGGATACCGGGGGGAGGGTAGGGGGGAGTTATTTGGGGCCGCCGGAGACGGGGTGGGTTGGGGGGGATAGGTTGTGATGGTTGGAGGTGGTTTCAATGCTAGAGAGTATGCACAATTGTAGATCTCCGACACGGCTGTCCGAGTGTGGTCTCGAACTAGGGGGGGGATTCCAGGACCCCAATATCGCTGCGGCCTGATATTGCAGAACTTAGTTTTGTACCCCGGTGGAACCACGCCCAATGACATCCATGCCCGCATTTTACAACGTCACAACCCATGATGGCACTGCCGGTCCGGCTCTTGACTGTTACTACGTTAAGTAGTAGGTGAGGTGTAACGCTGTCCTGAATTCTGGACCCCCCCTCATCTTTGCGCCCGGCGGACGGGTCGTGTGACGTGCGCCCTGCAATAGACGTCTCCTTAAGACCCGCGGTGATCGCCATATCTCGTTACTGGACTGTAGCTACGCCGAATAGTAGGACTCGCAGATCACTTCCGTAACACCAACGACATGAAATCTGCGCGGCTGTTTAGCTTGCTCGCCTGCTTCGCCGTGGGTTTTGCGGGTAGCACCCCCAGGGATTCCCCAGACGGGCTCACGGTAAAAGCCATAACCGGAGTTTACACCGGCCTCGTCGACCCCGAGTTCCCCGACGTACGACAATTCCGCAGCATCCCGTTCGCCGAACCCCCCATTGGCAACCGTCGGTGGCTACCACCGGAGCCTGTCAGGCCATCTCTCCGGCATTCATACGCATACCGCTTCCCGCCGCCCTGCCCACAGTACCTCTACAAGAATGTGACACTATGGAACTCCAACATGACCGACTTTTCCATCCGCATACAGGGACAGAACCGCCTTGAGGGGACCATGGCGCAGACCTCCTCCGAGGACTGCCTGTACGTCGCCATCTGGGCTCCCCTCAACGCGACCGTAGACTCCAACCTGCCCGTCGCCCTCTTCATACCAGGTGGCTCGTTCAAAAACGGCGGCGTCGACGTGCCCTACCAGCAACCCGCACCATGGGTACAACGCACAAAGCGGCACATCTTCGTCTCAGCCGGATACCGCGTCAACATCGCCGGCTTCCCCTGGGCCGCCGGCCTCGAAGACCAAAACGTCGGCATCCTCGACGTCCGCGCCGCCCTCGAGTGGGTGTACGCCAACATTAACTCCTTCGGCGGTGACCCCTCCCGCATCACCCTCTGGGGCCACTCCGCCGGCGGCGTCGCCGTGGACCTCGCCGCGCACGCCTTCGCCTCCAACCCCCTCGCCGCCGGCCTCTTCCTCCAATCCGGTACCGCCATGGTCAACATCAGCCACCCCGACCCGTCCCACCGCAACTTCACCTCCGTGGCGCGCACCGTCGGCTGCGACTTCCCCACCTCACCCCTCGCCGAGCTCGCCTGCATGCGTCAAGTGCCCATGACGCTCCTCCAAAACACCATCGGCGCCTACCCCGACAACGGGTCCGCCTTCGCGCCCGTCTTCAAGCCCCTCCCGGACAACAAAATCGTCTTCTTTAACTACACGCGCCTCGCCCAGCGGCCCGGCACCCCGCACACCCCACGCATCCCCGTGCTGGTCAGCACGACGGCCAACGAGCAGGCCAGTTTGACGGACTACCCGCTGAAGAATGTGACGGCGGGGCCGTGGCAGGTCAAGGTGGATCGCGAGACGGTCAATGTGTTTGTGTGTCTGGCGAGTAATACCACGCAGGAGCGCGCCATGGTGTCCGGGTCAGGGTCGGGGTCGGGGCCAGGGCGGTTGCTGACGTATCGGTATGAGTACGCGGGGAATTTTAGTAGTGTTGGCCCGCTGCCGTGGATGGGCGCGTTTCATGGCAGTGATGTACCCATGTTGATGGGGACGTTTGACACGGTGGGTGAGGGCAAGGAGCGGGTGACGGGGTTTGAGAGACGGGTGGCGGAGAGGATGCAGGATTATTTGTTGGCGTTTATGGAAGATCCGGAGGAGGGGTTGAGGAAGGGGGGGTGGCTACCGTGGGGGGAGGTGGAGGGGAGTGAGGTGGGTGGGCGGAATATGATGCGGTTTGGGAGCGGTGGCGTGGTGGCTAGGAATGTGAGTGCGGATGAGATTGATGATGCGTGTGTGTTGGGTCGGCCGTATAACTCGAGTCCTTGAAGTAGGATTGTCGCGACACTTACCTGTAGGTCTCGGATTAGTTATGCGAAGCTCGTAAAGAACCAGACATGTAATGATCGGAGAGTGTACGCCCGGTTGGCCCTTTCATCGGTGTCTTTTGGTGATGGCCTGAATGAACCTGGTGCAAACATCGCAGTTGTTCGGTGTATGAATAAAGGAAACAATCGTTCAAGTACTGCAATCCTAAATCTCGTTGTTTTTTGGTCTCACTACACGTTCTTTCAAAGCCCGGATTTACCCACGAAAGACAAGACATTGATGCATACATGCTAAACCTTTTTGTCCCGTCCATACCTATCAATTCAAGAACGAACTAATGAACTCCATAGGTAACCATCGAGAACTGCGCGACGGTTACATGTCTTCGTTGAGATGCCTCCGCCCCAACGAAGGCGGCAACATGTCGACACCCAGCCAGCAACCATCGTACGTTTTGTAAGCCGCTCCCGCGCAAGGACTACCACGGCCCCTCCAGTCCACGTCACGTCGTAAAAACAGAAGACCAAGAATGCCGCGGCTCCCGCCCAGCGACTCTGGCCCACAACACCTTTGCATTATCACACCCCCGGGCCCAAGCTCTTCCTGGGGCCATATCAGACGCTACACGAAGCCCGAAAAGAACTTGTCGAGTACGGAATTGCCCAAGGCTATATGCTCGTCGCGCGAGGGCACATCAGGGACGGGACAATCTTGGCTAAGAACATGTTTGGGGCAGGCCGGACCCCAGCCATACGAGTCAATATGGTGTGCCACCGCAGTGGCATCCAGACCAGGACACAGAAGACCGGAGGTCCCGAACGGCCGGTATTCGCACCGGTGCCATCTCCCACGGACCATCCGGTGGGAGCACCGCCGCCAGCTGCTTACCTGGCAGGGCTATTGCAAACGGCCGCGTTCAATGGGGATACCAACATGATAAGGATCTTGCTTGATATGGGAACAGTAGACATCGATTCGTCTGATTCGACGGGGCGGACAGCGCTGCATCTCGCCCTTGAGGGGTCCCGGACGAATGCGTGTACATTGCTCGTGGAACGCGGTGCTAACGTCTTCTGTAAGGCCTCGGGAGGGATCACCCCGCTGGATGTGGCGATGGGAAGGGGGTTGGAGGAGGCCATAGCACTTTTGACTGAAAAGGGGGCGGATCTGGTCATGTGAATGTGTGATGCTAGTAGGTCAGCAGAGCCCCCGAGAGGTCAAGCGTTACCTAGGTAGGGAGTTTTCTGTACGTGTAACAAAATGGTCAGTCACATCTTTCGTCACCTAGGTACCTTTCTCCCAGTTTTTAAAAGCTTCTACCATGAACTTCACACTCTTGGGGCTGTGGCTTGAAGTGAAGATGAATGCATCCTTTCCACTAACTTAGCCACCCGCTTGCTCAACAAGCAGCTGTCCAATGCCTCGGACTCCTATCCCTAATCCCACCTTGCCCTACCTAACAAAAGAACCGCAGCTATAAAACCACAAAACCATCGCCCCCTGTCCAGCAAGGCCCAATATGATATGATCTCCACTCCCCATCTCACATCTCACATCTCACAAACCAAACCACCCCCTCAACACCAGACACCCATCCAAAACCCACCCGATCCCCATCCACCTCCGTCCCAGTACCCCTACCCATAAGTACTATACCCCGACCAACCGCCCGTGTGCCCCCTATACGGATCCACCCCCGTCCTCTGATTCGTTGTCCTCCCATCCAAGTTCGTCCAACCCCACCGATCCGCCGCAAACTCCCCCAGCGCCGTCCCAAAATCCCTCAGATCCTCCCTCGGCACGCTCTCCAGCGCGTCGCTCAGCGTCCGCCAAAAACTAAAGGGCCGCGCCGGCGAGGGCGACCGGCGGCGGCGGCGGGGGTGGCGGGAGGGGGAGCGTCGCCGGGGACGGGTGGGCTGCGTGGTCACGGGGGAGTAGGGCCGTGTGGCGGGCGGGGAGTACGCGCGGGGTGGGAACGTGTAGGCTGTGGGATGGAGCGGGGAAAGTGGGCGGCGGCGGGGGGAGAAGAGTGGGAGGGGGGGAGGCGGCGCGCGATGTTGCGCGGTAGGGGGAGGGAGAAAGGGGAGCGCGTTGGGGCGCGGCGGTAGAGGGGGGAGAGAGGCCGGCTGTAATAGGGTGAGGTGGCGCGTGGGCGAGGAGAGGGAGGGCGTCGGTACAGCGGTGTGGTCGGACGGGGGGACAGCGGTCGCCGGTATACTGGCGATGTAGGTCGTGAGGAGAGAGGTCGTCGGTATAATGGCGTGCTAGGGCGTGGCGATAGCGGACGTCGATAGTAAGCTGTGCTAGGGTCGGGGGCCGGATACAGGGGCCGCCTGTAAATGTAAGGGGAGGGAGAGCGGGGGCAGCGGTAGGTTGTGGTGTTGATATAGTCTCCTGTATAGGAGTAAGAGCTTGCGCCTGGCATTGTAGTGAAGGTGCTTTCCGTCGTGATCTTGATGGCGGGGATTGACGACTTGTAGATATGATGATTGCAATGGTTGAACGGCACTCCTTTTAGTAGGAACAGTATCGAGCTTAAATATATAGCCTTGGGTACCATCACTGAGCAGAGGGGATACAAGGGCCATCAGTGTGGGCAGCATCCACCCAGCGGACAACTGCATTACGGGATATGTTGCTATTGGGTGGCCGCGAACAATGAAATCCAGGTCTCGTCAGAAAACCCTCCAGGAAATGGACCAAGATCAAGACAACGGTTGTGCGTGGTGTTAAACTCACATGGCTCGTGGCACCGGCCACGGTACAGCACACACAAAGAAACCGCATCCTGTGCCCCCTAACATTTCAGGAAAACACCCATTGTGTGCTTCATGATTACGCCACCAGTGACACTGACCATTCAGGAATGCGGTATGCAAAAGGAATGCGCCTAACGCTTGCAAGAGATCTGGGCTCGACATCAGGGCGAGAACATGTCGTACTAGGATAATCCAACGGCGTGACGGGGTGGGTGCAACAATATAATATGCGCCCCTCTATCAGATCAACATGTCAGTTCATGACGGTGGGCTGTGGTCCTTTATTACGCAACGTTTTGTAGCTGGCATATCAAGGAGAGAAAATAGGATCTCGCGTCTTTACCCTGGGGATTCTTATCATGAGAAGCGTCAACGCATTTCACCACGCAATGGGGCAAACCTACCGCAAAGTTGTGCATCTGAAATCTGAGCCGTTGGTGTGTTACCATTTTTTCTGACGTGTTACCACCAACGACATCATATTATGCTTTGGCCTCTAGTATGCGTGAGGTATGTGATTTATTTACAACTTCGGGCAGCTGAATCGGCTTGGTGGGTTCACGCGAGGGGGCTAACTTTCCAAATATGTATGTGTAATCGTGGTTGTCGTGTCACCAACACCCCAAAGGGCCGCCAGAAGAAAACCAGCAGATGATCTCGGGATAAGTGCTCGTTCTATTGGGGTCTAGATGTAAAGTATTGAACCTATCTAGATTCCTCCTCATACACTGACCTACCATTCCTTTCTACGGGTGTAACTTTTGGCATCGCGGCGCCATCTGCTGGTGTTTTACGCATAGAAAGACAATCCTAACCTATGCGGTTTACATGGTCGGTGCAATTTTACTCGATGGTCAAGTCCGAGCTCGCAGCTCAACACGCCCCCTGGCAGCTGGGCATCGCAGTCTGCAAGTACATGTATGACAACATCTATGCCTTTCGCTTGGCCAAGTTGACGAGGCCTCCACATTCGGAAATCGACGTATTAATATCTCCAGTCTCAATATTCGAAGTGTGCTTCCATGCCGCCAGAACATGGCTGGCGCTCCATTTACGGCCAGGAGACGAAGGTCCCAGTGCGATCTGGAGCTCCTCGAAGAAAAGCTTGACCATATCCTCAGGCTCTTCCACGGTAATTCTGTGAAGGCTGTAATCTTCCACGTTAATAGACTTGATTAATGATATTGGAAGCGTGGCAAACGCCTCGGTTATATCGGGCAGGTGAATGGGTCCCCGGGGGAACTGGAAATCGAGCTTGTAGTCGAGACCCATTGTGTAGTAGGCGAGTAATGAGGGAGTATTAGTTGGCTTGGTTCTGTAACTGGACTGAACTAGCTTGATCGTAGTGGTTCAGAAAAGGTTGGAATTGTCAAGACTACGAAGGTTTTTGTACAAATTCCCAAATTATCACAGGTCCGGAACATGCTGGGTTTGCCTGGTCATGTTCATTCAGGACCCCTGTTCAATATTCTCCGGTCAACCCCTTCTTGGGCCACATAATGTGGCCGACGTCAAACAAATGCGACGATTTAACGTCAAAGGCTTGAACTTCGAACAATGAAAACTCGAATTGTTGCGTGACTTGGGCTACTCGTTCTTGTTCCATCCCATTTTGAGATGGACCAATTTCCCCAGTGATCTCTCGATCACGGCATGACTAAACGCGTCGCTTTTCTGTGTCTTGTTGAATGCATGTCGTGGGTTATGTTCATGTCCCTGTCTTGGCAGGACGCCCCTCGACATCTGTTGGATTTGGAAGGCGGTTAGGAGGGGCAATTCAGGGGTAACTAGTGTTGGAAATCCAACAGCCAGAGTAGCGATACTTCTGAACAGGGCGCGCAACGTAGTGCAAGCAAGGTCACTGATCCAAGGCCTCAATTTCGTGATGCAATTGTCTGACAGTCTGATTGATGTAACTGGAAGAAAAAGGAGATCCTCTGTGCCCTTAGAAACGCTGCATTGGGCCCAGTCTGGTGGGCCCAATAAGCCCCTGTTGTTGACCCGCCGTACCGTATCTTCAGCCACCCGTTTTGTGCAACAACTAGTGGCTGGGCATTATTAGTATTTTCAGGATCAGGGCGAGGCCCGCGGCAGTGGGAACAAGACAGAGACAGAGAGACAGACATCATCATCATCAATGGACTGGTTGCCCCTCTTTCATCACCTTTTGGCACCCAATCACCTTGGTACAGTCAATTCGTAGCTGTTGGCTTTCCAACAACATCGTCACGAGTGTCTTCCATGCTGGCCCTCAACTAGAACTTCCACATTCCGTTTTAGTGTGGCTATCTACACCCGGGAATCCAAGAATACAAGAATACCAATCTCTCGACTTCATGTATTCAACAGTCCCGGTCCTCTCTTTCTATCCACTTACCCCAATCTGCTAATCTGCTTCTTCGCCATTGAGATGACTAACCGATCCGTGAGTGACACGGGGTCTTGGGCAGCAGCAAATCGTACGGCGGGTGAGGTATGTAGCTATCAAGCTAGAAGAGTGTGAACCTGCCAATAGAGCGGGCAGTGTCCTCTCCCGCGTTTCGATCGACATTGGCACACCGTTAGTCAGACTCTGTATTTACCCAGGGTATCATCCCAACGTTACCTCTCCCTCCTGAGCCTCTTCACCCCTCAATCTCCCAAACCAACCACATACAGCATTACCACCACGACAAAATGACGTCCTTAACACACCTTGGCCTGGTTGTCCTCGCCTTTTCTCCCGGCATCCATGCTTTACCTGCCACCCAGGCGAAGCCAGCTCAAACAGCGCCTCGGACCGACACCCGGGCGCTCGACGAAGCCGGCGTCATGCACCTTGTCGACTGCCACCCGCTAGAGACAGCCACAAACTCGACACAGACCTGGATGTCGCTCGTACTTGTACGCTCCCAAGCTTGCCGCCCCCCCTAATAAAGCACATATCCCCATTTGCAATGAGGAAACCACCAAACCGAGTGTTAATCCTGTATCCCATGCCATTAGTACTGCGCCAACAGCGCCGACTGCAACAGCGTCGCCCACTTTCCCGAAGCACGCGACATCTGTGTCATGAAGACGAGCAACTCGTCGCTTGACTATCACAAGTGGGAGAACAGCGACTGGCAGCACTGTTATTTTGCCGAGAGGGGCGTGTTCAGCTGGGCGCTCAGCAGGTTTGCGCGGCTGTTTCCGCCTGCGACCGAGGTCGGGTGAGTCTTGATATGTGTTTTTTTTGACTCCTTCGTTAGCATTCACGTCAAGCCCGAGTTTGCTGCCGGGCTCGTGTATTGGATGGTGCTTCTGATGCGTGTTTAGAATCGGCGAGGACATTGACGAGCGGGAATTTTCTGGGTTCCGGGACGACGAGACCCAGGGGGCTGGGCCGGCGACGCACAACTGCTCCAAGGTGTATTACTTTACTTGACTGAAATTCGAGGAGGTATCTCCTTGAGAAGGTGGACAATACGGTTAGTTGCCAGGCGGGCATGAAAGAAACGTTTTCTTGTTTCTTTTTCACCAGAGGATCCGAAGGTTTAATGGAGAGATCATAGCATGAAGAACTTCATATAGCATTGCAGGCAGTCGATACGTCTCAAATAGACCAGATTGCCGGAAGCGTGGAAGATACTCGTTTCCTGGGTCTAGTTTGAGAATCCGTTACTTGCCCAAACGCTGTCTACATGTCTATTTATAACCGTACTACTGTACGGGGTGTGAACCATTGCACCCCCCAAGTTGACCTACCCCTCCAAAGCCGTGGTCCGCAGCCCCTGAAACGACCTCATTTTCACTCGCAGCCTCTCTGGAAGTGCGATGCCCGGATGCTGCTTCAGAAAGTGATCACGAACCCTATCCCGTCTCGGGTTTCCGTACTCGCACTCTCCGCATCGAATGGGAGGCAGTTTCTCGTGGACGAGCGTTTGGTGCTTCCTGAGACCGCCCAAGTCGCTGTAGGTGGCATCGCAGCCCTCGTAATTACACGTTCGACGCCGCCTTGCCGAGTTCTTTAGCCCAGGCCGATGAGCAGCACGGACGGGCAGGGTTCTGCATCTATCCACTTCTACCTACCGCGACCCCAAAGTAGATAGAATAGATACATTAGTCAGCCGACCCGAGGTAGAGTTGATAGAATAGGAAGCTATTCTATCAATGTAGATTCTATTTAGGTAGATTGCCAAGGCTTGGGCGGGTAAGGATGTTCCGATAACAGGACCCATGACTTCTAACATACTTCTACCTAGCCACGAGTCGGCCACCTCATGCTATTTTACCTTCAGTTTGCCAGGATATTCCATCCTCAAGTGTCTCAATGCCTACATCTCGGAGGGCGATTCAATGGGATCGGAGAGCAGCGACTCGGAGAGGCTGGATGACCGCAGGCTGTCCTGGGACATGTCGCTCATGTTCGGTGGAGTGGGCTCAAGTGAGTCGAGAAAGGACTGGATGCGATCTCGCTTGTCTGTCGAGAGAAGGAAGAAGGAAGAAGACATATTGATGGGGGCAAAGGGAATTTTATATTGTAGATCTTGGCTGACACTCACAGGCTTGTAAGAACGCGGTCAAACGCGTCTTCACGAAGCCCTGTCAACGTCCATGAGCGGTAGGATTCTTGGGAGATTGCTGTTACTGGAGACCGCTGAAGTACAAGTTGAACCCCAGCATTAGCAGCTCGAAAACCGGCAGGAGGCGTACCATTAAGTCTCATCATATCAGGACTGCGATTCAGTAGCTACTATCATGGAAAATTAGCTCTCTCGACTTGCCTGAATTTTGCAAACTGAATGAAGGCAAACCGACGCCGGTGACACGATTCGTTGCTGAGCAATAAATTGCAATGGTCTTGTTAGGATCCCAGGACCTCGACTTCAAAATTGTTAGTGACGGAGTTGCTTTGTAACGAAAATTTGCTGTGCACCGATTACCCCGCCTATCGCGGGGTAAACCTCCTGTCAGTCCTTCCAAGCAACCATTATCTATAAACTGATCTTTTGGCAAGAACTCTCCAACAAGTCGGGATACAGTAAAGCTAATAGTATCATTAAATTGAGCAAAATTTATCTTAGCAGGATGTATAATATGATCTCCTCCGGGACGCGTCGAGTGATTCAGGTCAATTTAGACCAGAAGACGGACAAGTTTATATCAAGATTTTAATCGTTGTAGACCATTACACACATCATCTAGACAACTCACTACCAAAAGTGGTCCGATCGAATTGAAAAATACATCAATCATCTTGATCTCATCTAGAGACTATTTTCCCCACGTGGAATCATCTCAGGCGCTTAAGTCACCGTGCTCTGGCGAGGCGTCAAAAATCGGCTTGTTTTGCCTGCGAACACGCGCCACCAGCTGAGCGGCAGACACGCGCAGGACACGCGCAGAACACGGCCACGAGGCAGAAAAGATACTCAGCGCGATTCTCTACGCTTGATAAAATAATGATAACTTGACCTAGATATCTAGGGCGCTTCTGGCCAAGATCTCGGTGTGGCGCTACGGTACTACCTGAGAGGCTGATGCAGAGGCCAGAACGTCCGACGGAAGACCCTCTAGAGCCGCGGGCTCGAATCACGGTCGGATCATATTTTGCATTCTCTTGACACTCCGTGATCACAAGGTATTGATGGTTTGGGCGTTGTGTGTTGGATGTTCCAATGCTCAGTAAAGCTGTTGCTAAAGCATACACGGAGCGTTTAACCGGTTCGCTGTCAACTTGTTGACTTCCTCGGAACTATGAGCTGCTACTTTCCCATCAATAACAGAACATCAACCTTCCAATGATGGCCCTCTTTTCTCCGGAACTTCCATCATGGGTTGCCAGAGCTGGATGGATGGATGGATGGATGGAATTTATTTCGCCCGGAGGCACTGGGCCTATAGGGCCTTAGCACGCTAGCTACATCCGGATCAGATCGTTTTGCGTTTAACTCGTACAAGCCCCCTACTTCTTCCCTCTTTCTCGCTGCACCATTTACCTCTTGCCTTGGTTGTTGTTAGCAGATCAGCTTGGAGGCTACTTTCTCCAAGTGTTCAGCGTCCTATCTTCAGCAGCTAAAGCGGGACGTTGCCAGAGCCAAAGCATGCGGGCAGGGCACATGTGACTAGTCACGTGAGATGGCTCGGCCGGCGTGGCGCAAAGAGAACAGGCGGAAAAGCCGGAATATGTACCGCTCAGGGCGGTGGTGGCTGGGGCGTGCTTGAGGCGGGCTCGAAAGGGTATGTGCTGAAATATTAGTAATCACTTGGCAATCTACCCACTTTGAATCTACGTAGATGAGGGTCTGGTAGAATAGATAGAAGCTTGGCAGCCGGCCGAGTAGAGTAGATAGAAAGCACTGCTTTCTATCTACTAGTAGATTCCGAATCTACTTTGGTAGATAGATGCAGACCCCTGCGGACGGGGAGGGGGGAACCTACCTGGTTGGCCTGGGACCCGTCTCGGGCGACGATGCATCTTCATCCACCGCCCTCGGCCGTTTTTGAGGCTTTGTGGCGTGGGTTACTTGTGTGGGAGCCACAGGGACGTCGTCTGATATTGTCAGGACAGAGGAGACGATTTGCTCGTAGGCAGTGCCGGGGAGGAGAACGGCCTGATACATTTGTCAGTAAACTGAGGTCTGAGGATCTGGGCCCCGCGAGTATTTTTGTGAATAGCACTTACTGATGCCACGCTAATGACATATTGTTTGATTTCCGCGATACTCTGCAAATAACCGTGCCGTGTGAACATCTCAGCAACAGAGACTAGGGCTCGGAAGGCCGAATAGCTGGAGTTTCGGTGTCTGGAGCACGGCTCAAAAAAGGCTTTTTGGGCTTTGCGATGAAATGACTCTTGGTCTCCCTGTTGCGCCTGGTACAACTTGTGACGTTTAGGGGCGAGGCTCCTTCCGGACAGAGTGTACAAATACCACTCGCCAAGATCCTGGAGGAAGACGAGAACAACAAGAAACATTATGGTGTTGTCGAGCTTGGAATCCTCTGGCCCCTTGATGTCCGATTGTGCGCTTTCTCTCTCCCCGTTTGAAGGATCGAGCTCCGTTGGCTGTACCTCCGAGCGTGTGGAAGACACGTCACCGCCTGGGACACTCGTTTGCGACCAACCCGTATCGGCTGCTTGCTGGAATGGGTACTGTCCCGTCAACAAATCAGAGAAATTATACACCTCGTGAGATAACCTCAGCAAATCAATGGAATCCGAAGCGAAAGTTAGTCATTGATTTCCTGGTGTTGGAGGATGTGGGCTGCTGTTCTGTCAATTTTATAAGGGTCCGACGGGTGTACCAGGTCGTCGATACCACCAAAAGCGGTTTGCCCGTTTGGGTGAGGATGGGAAAGTTCGGTGGCTGAATATCCCGCTGAAGCAGCAAGAGATGTAAACTGGGGCCAGCGATTCGCCCACCGACCGGTGCCGTATGTGGGATGGGTCGGAATATCAATGAAGTGGAGATGCTCCTTGGCTTCTGGCCAGAGTTCTGGTGCAAGTTGGTTGAAGGCTTGTCTCTCCTTTGGGTCTGTAATCAAGTCCCGCCAGGCTCGAATGTCGGCAAGGATGTCGCTCTTGTCGATGGCATTCTTCTTGTAGAGAAGTTGAGAGATGGAGTAGGAGAAGCAAGTGAAGGCGAAGACGATCGATAACTTGCTAGGCTGGAAGCCTTCGAGCACGTCCTTAACAATGCAGGCGCCTTTATTGCGGATACTCTGTCCGTCCGGGTATATTTCAAGCAGGTCGGAGATGATGGGGTTCTCTAGACGCCTCGCCAGGACCTGAAACCGTCTGTGGTGATACTCTGTCTCCTTCCTCAGTGTGCGAATAGCGGCCCACTGAGATGCCATGGGCTCGCTCTCCATAGCAATGGCGGGTTCAGAAGGACAAGCGGTATCACTAGCGGGTGTATGGCCGAGAAAGTCGTCAAAGATCTCGAGAGGGTAGCCGTAGGCGGTTTGCGTTGGGGACAAGGATGGAACGGGGGTCGTGCTGCCCTCGGTTTGGTCCTGGTAGTGCATCCCGGCCATCAAACCATTAAGTTCGGAAAAGACTACCTCAAGGTCTCGGCGGTGTCGCTCTATTGCAGAAGGGGTGCCGCGTGTGGCACCGGAGGCCCAGGAGTACTTACGGCATTTTTCATCGAAGAGTTGGCGGGTCTTCTGGGCGGGCGACATCCTGTCGGACCTTTCCGCCCCGGCTTCGGGCATATGGCGTGCCTCCAGGCTGGTTCAGGCGAGAATGAATGCTGTTTTAGGTTGGCAAGGCAGCCAGTTGGTGGTATCACAGGCAACCAACGTCTGGGTGGTTCGCATTCTTCGGCCAAGCACCCTTTTTAAAAACAACCGCGCAAAAGCAAGGCGGAGGCTCTGTTGGCGAGGATTCGGAGTAACCAGGGCTCGCTGCTAAGCCAGCGCGCTAATGCCCCCAAGAGGCACAGCTGACCTGGCAAGCTCCAATGCCATGTCCTTCCATGTCCCGCCATGTCCCGCCATGTCCCGCCATGTCCCACTCATTATGTCCCCGCACGTACTATCTCCGAACGCCATGTCCTGCCACCCCAGAATGTCATATGCTACCCCGTGTCTTACCACATGCCGACACCATGGTCCCAGTGGTACAAGTTACGTTGCTCTGCCAATTCCAGCCATCGGGGGGTTAATCAGCCCCATTCTCCTTCGTTCACTCGGCGTGCCGGGTGCTCAGCCTCTGAGCTTTCCCCTCGCTCAAGCGGATAATACTTGATTGCAGTGGCCCTGAACAGATGTCAGAGCCAGACCCATACGGGTCCAACAATAGCATGTCCCGTTACCCCTGACATACCTAACTGCACCCGTACCCCGCTGCCTCCGTGGATCTTGTCATGCCCCTTCTGGTCCCATCGCCGTTGTCAACGCGATGCACGCCCTGGAAACGCTACGCTATCTGAATTGTTTGTCTGGCAAAAGCACAATACCGCAGTTTCCAAGATAAGCATAGGTAATTAGATAGACCAATGGCGCCTTGTCTTGACCTCCAGCTGTTACGAAATGTCCCATACCAACCAAACTTGGTCGGGGATACATACCTACTACCAACCCAGGGTATGGCGATGGCCCGTCGGCGATCATGGATCAGAGACTGGCGACTCTTCGCCACTCAATGATAAGCTACCCAGATATAGACTTTGTATTTAAGAATCCTGTGGACACTGTGATCCGGAGAACTTGAACACACCCGAAGAATTGAATGTTCTTTAACATTTCCACCAACGCGCAAGCGGATCTACAGTCACACCACCACAAAACCAGAACAACCCCATTACCTGTCCCATGGATACCACGGGCTTAGTAGGGCAGACCACCAATGGCCGGGACAGGGAGTTCGGAGACCAGCGTGTTACAGGATCCAAATGTAGGTACAGTACCTCCCTACCATACATTCGCCCGACCCAAAGCACAATAACTGATTGGAGCGCATACTTGCTCGAATATCAGCATCTTCCGGTCCCATGGTCGCTCTGTGGTTTAAGGAGCCCAGAGATATCTTCCGAGACCCCTGATCGTCGGAGCGCGCGTTGAGTGACCAACAGGGTGGAGCAACCCGCGAGGTGGCCAGCAGCCGAACCGGGGCCAAGCTTTGAGGACAACGGAAGGGGAGGATCCTATGATCCGTGGTCTTGGTTGTGGTATGGACATGGATGCTTGCTTACAACGATTCAAGGCACCGATTGCGGAAGAGGGGACGTCCATGTACATGATTGACTGGATGGTACCGGGAAGGTTGTGAAGGACCATACAGTTCTACAATGCCGTTATCAGTGTAAATTCCCTTTTCCTTGTGGAAATTCTATTACACCTCTGAACAAAAATACACACAACACCGTAGGGACGGCGTCATATTTCGCGCGTCGAGATATTCTCATTCATCACATTCTAAATACCCCTTTTTTCATCCACGCCACACAGTCTAGCAGATCGTCCTCTTCCCATTACCCGACAGGGTCCAGTTGGTGTTATCACCGCACGGCGACTCGCGCACCGAGGTGTTGTCGACCTGCAGGGTGATCCAGATGTCGCGGGTGTTGGGGAACTCGGAGCGGGCCGAGATGCGGACCTCACCACCACCGTTCACCTTCCCGCCGCGGATGGACACGTTGTAGCAGTTCTCGATGAGGATCGCGTTGTTCCCGTTGTCGGCCAGGTCGACCTGCTCGATGACGACGCCACCGGACTGCGACACGCAGAAGACACCGCGGCCGCCGCCCCGCGACACCACCTTGTCGATATACACGTTGGTGTTGTAGTTGCCGTTGGCGTTCTGCCCGTTGTTGTTGGCCATGCGGAAGGTGGCGTACCCGGTGCCGGCCGCCACGTTGTTGCCGTCAACCAGGCCGACGTGAGCGTTGCGGGTGGCCTGCAGCAGCAGGCCCGACTCGCCGACGTTGCGCGCGATGACCTGGTTGATCTCGAGGCCGTCGATGTTCCACGTCTCGACGGCGTGGCTGCCGGCCCCCGTCACGGTGATGACGTCCATCTTGACGTTGGAGTTGGCGGCGCGGTCGCGGTCGAACCGGATGCCCAGGCCGCCACTGAGGTTCATGGTGATCTTGCCGAGGCTGAGGTTGCGCGTGCCGGAGAAGCGCAGGCCGAAGTAGGGGTTGCCCGTCATGGTCAGGTAGGGGATCTGCACGTCGCTGGTGTCGGTCGACTCGATGGCGCCCCGGCCGGACTTGTTGCCGACGTTGATGGTGCCGCAGCCCTCAAAGATCTTGCCGCTCGTGATGGTGATGGTGCTGGCACCGATGGAGCCCGAGGCCATGACGGCGACGCGCTGGCCGCTGCCGATGGAGTCAAGAGCAGCTTGGATAGCAGCGCGGTAGTCGGAGCCGGAGTAGACGTTGCTGGACCCCTTCTTGGCGGTGAAGGAGCTGCCGGAGCCCGTCACCGTGGCGTGAGGCGAGCCGGAGCCGCATTGGGCCTGGGCGGCGGAGGCGAGCGCCAGGGCTGCTGTGAGAAGGGAAAGGGCGAATTGGGCCATGATTCCGGTTGCTGCCTCCGAATGTTAATGCGATCTTTGAAGGAGGTCGAACCAAGCTGTTGACGCAGGGGGCGCTCGTATGCTTGTATTTAACCTCCCGCAGGGTGGTCGGGGCTCAATTCATCGCGAATGTGGTGGAGTGAGGTCGTTTTGTGGCTCAGGCTGTTATTCCGAAAGGGCGATATAGCAGTCCCGGACAATATCGCTCCGAGCAGGCCCGTTGGCGGAAACTCGCGTCAATGTGTCGCCGAGCAGCTTAATCAAGCGCGCCACTTATTAAGGGGCTTCGCTACGACACCCGGCGGAGTAGTGATGCCCGGCTTGGCTTTGCCTCTAAAAGGCCGCCCCCAGAAAAACCGGCAGTCAAAGTCAATGGTAAGCCTCGACCGCACAAGCTTACACCGAGGAGGGTGAGAGAAGAGGGATGGTTCCACCTATTATACATACTAAACCGACTCTCAATGCCCTTGGCAGCAAGCGCTCATGCAAACCCCTCCCGCAGCAATGCGTTTTGAGATCTGGCCAAGCCGACCGTTGGGATCAGCGGCGCGAGCCCCCTGATCATCCCCAGGTTCCATCACCCAATCAGATATATCGAAACATATTCTCTCTGACCGACCTTCTCATGGCCACCGGCTTCCCGTCCTCATACACGACACCCGACGCGCCTCCATCGCCTGATATGCCTTCCATTTTCTGCTTCAGCTCCTCATCCATCTCTTTTTGGGTTTTCTTCTTTTTCACGGGAGGTTCCACGGCACTGGGCCCTGTCTGCTTTTGGCCTGGTAGCGTGTCGGTTCCTCCTCCCTTGGTAAGATGTGTAGTCAGTCAAACTGTTCTTGTCCAAGGTAACGGGAGGGCTCACTCCAGCGGCCGAAGTTAGTTCTGGCGGGATGCTGGTTGTGCTCGACATGGCCCGGAGTGTGCATGGGGTGAAAGCACTCCGCCCGTGAATGGATATGCATCTCGAGGCCATGTTCGCCCAGGTATAATTGGCTATTTCTTCAGTGAATAGCGGTGGAGATGCTCTGTAAAATCCGAATCCACATTCCACACATCGGAAGTGAATGTTCAGTTAAAGTTCAAACGTATTCGGACGAGGCCAATTGAAAGTGCAAGGGCGGGGTGGGTCGTTGGTGATGTCATACGAAGTAAGGTAGCATACATACATGTACCTATCCAAAGCAAGTGATATCTCGAGTAGAACGGTATCGCATTGTTAAATATATATTTCCCTGATACCAAGGGACAGGCATGTGGTATGACGGAGGACATGGCTTGAGCTGCAACCTCCGCTGCCACGGATCACGGATCCTACATCATAAAGACGCGACTTCCTGATAAAGTGGAGAGGCCTCTGTGTGTGCCCCTCTTCGCAGATGGCCACAGTCACAGTTTCCGCGAAAAAAAAAAAAAAAAAACAGTCTCTTCTGCAAGCATTGAAAATGAATGGAATTGTCGCCTGCCCCTAAGTGGAAGCCTCTATAAGGCAATCTACCTAGGTAACTAAGGTAATACAAAACTGCGAATGTGGGAGAATGAAACGAAAAAGTGAAAGCCACAAAGTCTCCGTGTGCCTGTCAATACCTACTTTATACAATTTGGTGTTCACTTGTTCTTTCTCCTTATTTTTTTCTTCTTTTCTTTCTTTTTAACAAAAAAAGAAAAAGGGAAAAACGCCCAATCCACTCATCTGTTACAAGTGGCCCGGTCGCCAAGACCTGCTTGCAGGCAACAATTCGGACCAACAGAGTTCGGACCAACAGAATTCGGACCAGCTGGGTTCAGATCGCCCGAAGCGACCATAGAAAACAAAACTTCTCTTTCCCAAAGCTCTCGTCGGGTAGGTTTCCATCCTCAAAACAGAAATGGCTCGAAGGACCCCTTCCCCGCCTGCGCCGGAGCTCCCTTGAACACCATCCCCCGACACGAGTCCAACCCTGTTGCGCATTCTCCAACGACCTAACCCACCTATTACCGACAAATGGGCTGGCAAAGGCTACACAAATACAGAACCACAGGGCGATGTGGTGGATCTGGATGACGAACACCCTTCTGTCCAACCGTGGACTGACTTCACCTTCCCCGCCATTCAACTGGCCTATGGACATCTCCTTGAGCAAAGTGTGGGGGAATTAGAATCCACATGCAACTACCGGGCGCCATTGACACCCTCCCCAGGGCAGAAGATCGGTGTTATCGTTAACAAATCCAGCATTGATACTTTGTGCAGGGATTGGACACGCCACATCGTCAGAGCCCCCATTCGAAGTGCAGGCAAACAACTCCGACCCTCGGTTTCGTCAAAGGCAGGCGGTACCAATGCGGCTCTATTTCATCAGCGTATAGAGTGGGTATCCCCCAAAAATAAGCGGGCTCGGTTGATGCCTGACTGGGTAAGTCTATTCCTTACCCCTTCATCTGACCCATGGGTGCGAATCGGAGGTTCTTGCTAATGTGCCATGGGTGGTTGTATTGGATGGATGGATGGATGGAATTTATTTCGCCCGGAGGCACTGGGCCTATAGGGCCTTAGCACGCTAGCTACATCCGGATCAGATCGTTTTGCGTTTAACTCGTACAAGCCCCCTACTTCTTCCCTCTTTCTCGCTGCACCATTTACCTCTTGCCTTGGTTGTTGTTAGCAGATCAGCTTGGAGGCTACTTTCTCCAAGTGTTCAGCGTCCTATCTTCAGCAGCTAAAGCGGGACCTGCTGGTTAAGGCTCGTGGTTGAGGCTCGTGGTGTTGAGTGTCGGCTTCTTCTACTGTGACTGGTTTAGACTCTCCTCTTCATTCAGCTCCAGCCTTCCTGTTGCCATTGCGTATTTGATCGTCGCCCGGACTGCCTTCATATCTGGTGACCAATGCCTTGTATCTGATGGCGCTTTCCCTCCCAGATAGAACGAGAGGCTTCCTCGTCTTGCCACTGTGCATTGCAGCATGTCTTCCCTCAGAGCTGTCCATCTCACGCATCGGAAAAGAAAGTGTTCCACTGATATCCAACCTAAGGCCGTGTGGTTCGACAGTTCCCGCTCACGTGACTTTGAATTAGTACCTTAGTCCATTCACATAACTAAGTAGTTAATTCACGATCAAGGTGATCGGATCAACCGAAAAAAAAAACATGAAGCCAACCCAATAACCACCAACAGTCAACCAGTGCCACCATCTCCACTCCTTAAGCCAGCCTCTCGTCGTTCTCTTTTTGCGGCCGCTGTTTCTTTCACCTTCTTTTTCTGAGGTTTTCTGTGCCGCACCTGAAAACGGCGTCGCCGCGTCGGTTACCAGTGCCAGGCCACAGTGGCCAAAGTCAAGCCCCGACGCCCCGACCCAACCAACAGTCAACACTCAGGTACCTAATTACGTACCTAACTAGCACCGAACCAACGTCAATCTACGAAATACAAGACAATGACAGCGACGGTGGAACTCCGCAAGACATCCGCACCGCCGCTTTTACGCCTCCCCCCGGCCATTCGGCATCAAATCTACCGCCTTCTTGGTTTGGTATCGTGGAACGGGTACCCTTACAACTTCGAGTTGAATGGCCCAGGCCCCCAAGTCTTCTGGAACACTTGGAGCTGGGAACAACACAGTACCAGCGACTTCCATGGCCTACTACTCTCATGCCGGCATCTTCATGCCGAGACAGCTACTCTGCTATACTCGGCCAACCGATTCGTGCTACGCTACGCAAACCCTGGTTCCCTCCAGCCTCTCTTTGCCCTGTCCAGGACGGCCCTGACGTCTCTTGCCGAGCTCAAGGTTGTTCTTAACCAAACCTCCTGCCACCACCCAGTGCAAAAGTACGACTACGAAGATTGCTGTCTCTATAAGAGTGGTTGGAGCTTGACTGCTGTCATTTCCACTTGTGAACAGCGATACCATTCTCACCATCACCAGCTTCCGCTGCTGGGCCCAGTGCCCGAAGGTGACAGCGACCTGTCAGACACAGTTCAAGCTTTGCTCAGCGAGTGGCACGCCGCCGCCAACCATCTGTCTTCGTATCTCACCCCAAAGCGTCTGGAGCTCAGTCTGGTCTGCGATATTGACCCTCGGCACGAAAAGGCGGTCGAGCTAGCCAAATCAGCTCTCAAGCCGCTCTCCCTCTTGCCATTGCTGAGGAGCTGCCACATTCGGCTTTGCAAAACGACCGATTCCCGGCTCCGCCAACTAGCCCAGGATGCTGCCTTGCAGAGCACTGGTATGTCTCCTCGGTATCTTGAACCACCCTCGACAAAAAGTCCCTTTATAACGCTTCCTCGTGAGCTTCGGCTTCGCATTCTCGAGTTTACCGACCTTGTCACTCCAAATAAGGAGGTCTGGTGGAGCCGAGACGCGTGCAAATACATGTGGTGGGATTTCGCAGGCGGTGGAGATTGTTTAGACCAGTGGTCGAATTGCCATTACAATGAGTGCTGGCACCGCACGAACACGGGGCGTCACATTCATGGTCGCTCAACTCTCGGCTGTTTTTGCCATCGTCGGCACGCCGCCTTTTCCAACACGTGCACCTGTTGGGCAGCACCTGGGCCTGCTCTGTTTCTCATCTCCCGTACCTGGCATCAGGATGCTCAGCTCGTCTTCTTCTCGGCCAACCGTTTTATAGTGCACGATTTTACCATTCTCACCCCTTGGTCGGTGCCGGAAATCCCGTTTTCGTACATGTACAACAGCACCTCTGAAACTGCGAAGATGGAGTACCCATACGAGCGCCTTGCAGCGTCACAATTTCTGCGCCAAGTTATCCCCGGCCACTGCATCGCCCAGCTCCGCTTCCTCGAGCTGGTGTTTCCCCCTTACCGTCCCTATACTTGGCCAGAAACGGACCATCCGGTAATGCGGGACTGGAGAGAAACAGTTGCCTGGCTCCGTGACATGATCAATGGACCCGCACTCACCCTGCGACTGATCGCGATCCGATACACCAGCGATTCAGACTTTGAAGGCCCCATCACGGTAGCGGAAGGGGACAAGGTCCATAGAGCATACATGGACCTCTTGGAACCTTTGAAAGCGTTGGCCGAGGGGGCTAACGGTATTTCTAAATTTTATGCCAGCTTACGCCATCCGTGGGAGTTGACATTCGAGAATGAAAACCGCCGAACCGGAATGGAAGATTTCTTCGAAGACAGTTGGTTGCAGGCAGAAGAGAGGGCACTGAAACAGAGGGCCGAGCGCCATGTCATGGGCGACCGGTACGAGAGCCTGTATGCAAACGGCAGGAAGGAACCGCCGCAAAGCCTTTGGCATCACGTGCTGAAAAGGCATGTTTAGACGAACCACCCCCTGAGCCCCTGACACCCTCACTCAGCCGCTGCCCTGCCAAGGATCTCGACGCCGGTCCCGAGCACATGACATCATCGCTCAGCCACATCGACACGTCAGTCAGTCAGCCCACACATCCCATCTCACCACCTAGCACCATTTGTTGCTCTCAAATTTCACCCAGAACAGCCAAGGCCAAGACAGAGTCCAGAACTCCAACAGCACATAACATCAATACACAACGACCCATCCTCATATCCCCGACTCAACAACAACCGGCACTTACCAACAACCAACCCGAGTCTCAATCACGGACACGAACCCCAACCCCGCATCCTAAGTTCCCAACCACCAAAAATGGACGCGCAAAGCACCCCCATCCCGCAACAACCCGCGCCCGCCCAGGTCCACAACCTGCACACCGCCCAGCCGCCAGCTTCGCAACCCATGAGTATGTGCACCCCCCTTCCATCCCGACATACCTACCTTACATACCCGACCCTACATGCACCCACCCACCCAAAACCAAAATAGCCTGGCCTGAGAGATAGATACCCCTCCCTCCCCTCAAGAGTCAAGTCTGCAAGGCCATGGCCAATTTGGGCATGGAATCGCCTACCTACCTAAGGTAGTCCTTCCTCGACAGTTGCGCTAACAATAATGGCATCAATAGACCCACAGAAGGCGCACCCGGAGAGTGAGGCCCAGCTGGGTCTGCGCGGCGGGCGCAGTGATTTGTGTCCGGGCCGGTTTTGCTTTTGTGTGCCCTGCCCGTTGCCGTGCGATTTTTGTATTATTTGAGGGGGGGTGATTGCTTGAGAAGGAGAGGGGGGGTGGCGGTGGTGGTAATGAATGATGATTTTGGTTTGCCGGCTTGCGAAGCGTTTGTGGTTTGTTGAGGACACAAGGGTAGCAAGACAAAGTACCTCTATATAGCGCGAATCTCACTTTTTTTATTTGCTTGGTAAATCGTTGATACAAGAGTTGCAGGTAATCTGAGAAAAATCATTGGAGGTAGGCCATTCGTGGTGGGATATTGTTCGAGATGATCACATTATCTCTCTCTCGGAGGATGATTCTGCTGGTATCTGCTGCACAAAAAGTTCTCAAATTTTCTGAGCGTATGTACAAGTTGAAGCCTCTCATGGCTCAACAGCGTCCATCCCCCTTCCACGCTTACAACCCCCGAACAGTATGAAGACCCTGCGAGATCTTCCTGGGGCCAAGATTCACAGCAAGGGACGCCGCAGCAATCCTGTGGTGGTCGCCGTCCGAGGGAGGTGGCACCTTTGGGCAGAACTGCGCCGGGGCAGGGTGGTCGCCCATAATAGTCACGGCGCTGACGCCCATGGTGATGTAGTCAGCAAACTGGCCGCCGTACTGAATGTACATGTTGGTGCTGGTGTCAAAAATGTCGCTGACCGTGAGCTCCCGGCCGGCATTGTCGCCTGTCCCCATGGTGCCTTTCGGGATCTGGATCCTGAGGCGGAGACCCATCTGCGCGTCGATGTTGCCGCGCACCCAGGTGAAGGTGCCGTCCGGGATGGGCTGCAGATCCTGACCGGTTCCATCGACGTCAAGCTGGAAGTTGGCCGTGTTGAAGTCTCGCATGTAGATCGCCACGGGGTCGGCGATGGAAATGGAGCTACCTTGCTGGGCAAGAGAGTTGACGCCGATGCCAATCTGCAGCCGGTCAGTACCCGAATAAACTCGGACAAACCGAGGATCAGATGCTCCCAAGACAGTCGGAACAAGAAAAGACTCACCGTGGGATCCGAGTTCCGCTTTGGGTTCCCATACTTGGAGCAGTTGCAAAGCGTGGTCTGCTCCGTGATGAGCTCGCCGCTCGAGTTCTGGCGAAGGACGGTGGCTTGTGCGGCGATGTCAATCTCGGCGCCCAGAGTGTTGTTCACTTGGGCGAGGTGCATAATACAGCCGGGGTTGACAGTCGTTAAGCCATCCTCCGGATGTCCAGGGGTCTTGCAGATTACTCCATTCCACTTGTTGTACGGGTCATATTGGCCATCCTTTTTAAACAGGTCCTCCTTCTTGATCTGATCGGCGAAATCAGGATTGGCCTTCTTGTAGAGGCCAAGCAATGTGTCTGGCGCATTGCTGCCCAAGAAGCTGAAGTACTGCCACGTATTATCATTAGTCCTTTTTTTTTCTTTTTCGTTTTTTTTTTTTTTTTTTTTCAACGACCGTCGGAGCGTAGACGGGGATCAAGGACACCGCTGTAGAGCTTTCCGCTGGCTTACCTCAAATCCTTCACAGGTAAAGACAATGTATTGGATCCTGTCCTCGGAGTCGACATTCGTGCTCCACTCCAAATACTCGTCCATGACATCCCGGTGGCCTTCGACGGTTGGCCACCGGTCGTTGGGGTCTTCTTTCGCGATCTGTAAAGCATTGTCAGAATTGTACAGCCTGAACAAAAGAAAGAGAGGCGTGAAGTCATACAAGTCCGGGGAACCCAATCCAAGTGATGGCCTGAGGAGGCTGTGCCGTGTTAAAGGCGGTAACTGTGCCGTTAAAGAACTGCGGGAGGGGAGTTCGGAGCACCCCCGAGCCGCCAGTCAACGGTGTACCGTCGGGATTCTGGGCTTTTATCTCAGTTTCCATCCAGGACGACACCTCCTGTGACCAAGCTGCCTTCTGTTCCGCACTCAAGCCATCGTTGACGTACGGCCAGCCTGGAGGATTGAGTTCAGGGAGGACCTGTGCGTGAACTTCTCCCGGCGCCATCTTGGAATTTCGACTAACTTGCAGGGGTGGACGCAGCTCAAGAATGAAGGACTTGGATATCCTGTATGATTGTGTCTAGTTGCACTTCAATACCAGGCCTGATCCACGTCACAGGCGCCTGGATTTATATAAAGACAGCTCGGGGATCAGGGCCCGAAATTTGCTCCAGTTCTTCATCATACACATCTCGTAACTCGCGCACATCTATCTCGATTCAGCTTCCTTGCCCCCGCCACAGGGGGAGCCGGAGATCTTGACCAGTGGGATTTGAGAATTTCCCGCTTGAGCCGCTCCCCCACGACCATCATGAATTTTGTGATAGCCCGTTTACGTTGGCACTGCGTAAGACTTGTCCGACTTAATGACATGAAGCTCCACTCGGTCGTTAGGCATTGACTCGCGGGACTACAGCTGGTATTCGGACCGCCGATTTTGAGGGTGCCCCTGAAGTGCACTAATTGGACCACGTTCTTGAAAGTAGGAACAGCACGACATGATGCACAGCCATCAATCGGGCTATACCCCGCTTCATGGACCCCTTATGAATTGACTGCATATTAATTAATTGGTCAAAAACTGCGCTGCTGTTACCCAAATGCATTTCAGCTCAACGCATCTCAGACATCGCGCCACTCAAAGCTCTAGGTCCAAAGACTCGAACTGCTCGAGGCCAGCTGAGGGGAATTCAACGTAAGCGTGACTCCTGGATACGAGAACACTACTCGTCGGTCTTTCCAAGATCGGGGATCCGAGTACCCCGACAGAGGAGGCGGCCCGCCAAGTACTCCTGCACTTCCCCCGCTTGAGGCAATTGAAGGGAGCGGAGGCTCCTCCCTACCCCATCGTTATCGGCCAAAGGAGGGCCCCGGCTTGAGGCTACCTGTGTGTAGATCAGACCTTGTGCCCACAGGTTACGTTGCTTGCAGAGTAGAACATCAACATGTACAGGAACCCTCTAGGGGCCTCCGGACAGTACTTTCAACGCGTACCGGACGTAGCAAGGGACAACCAGTTCTTAAAGGTACGAGTACTAAGTGGTACAGATACGAGCTTCCGCAGAATATCTGAGGAGTTGCCTTGTAACAGAGCTGCAAGGGGCGATGACCGACGCCCATTGTGTTATGGGTCCGAGCCTCTGTTCTTTTGATGATATCAGGCATCAACTGTCCTGGTCGGGACAATAGCATTGCATATTACGCTCGTTTCTTTCTGCGATCAAATTCTGCTTACACTCCCATAATCCCTCCAGTTCACATTGGCACCTGATCCACAACTCGACAATCACACCTCTCTACCTTGTTGTTTGCTGGCTCTCTCACGTCACCATGCCCGTCCCTCTGTACTGGCGCCAATTCACACGAAATGGCAGTCCTGATGTTGACACCCAAGCTGACGCTGCCTTCTTGGCCGCCAATTTCACCGACCACTTTGGACAGTGGCTACAACAAGGGGACAACGGTTTAGCTCGGTCATTTGATGCTCTTGTCATGCCCTACTGGGGTGAGATGCCCACGCTGGAACTACTTTCCGTCTTGATTCCATCCCGACAGATGCTAACAGCCTGAAGCTGGCTCCCGGGAGTCTCCCTCTCGGTACAAGGTGTCGACTTTCATGGTCGCAGACGGAAGCTTCATCCAGGCCGGCCAGACGCCAGACTGGTCTTGGTTCAATCCCCACATACGTCTGGTGACGTTGGTCTGCCAAGCCAGCCAATCTTTCTTCGCTCCGTCCCCAACACAGTGGACGCTGTGCATCGTGGGGTCAAGCTTGCTGTATTCTGAGGACCGACATGACTCGTTCCTCCAGGTGGCCTCTTGGAATGGCTCAGAATTCAGATTTTATCAGGTGCGTAGAGCTGCTTTGGCCAAAAATGGCCCAGACTCTTTGCCAGCCTAACCTACATACATGGCTGACATAAACGGTCTAGAACGATCTTGTCAATGGCACCGGTTCAGGATCGTTCTGGAACTACTTTGGAAAATCTATGGATGCCTTTGGGGCGAGTGAATATCTCGGTCCCTTCAACGGCCATGTCAACGGCGCCTGCATCATGAAGGAAATGCACAGGTAAAGCCAGCATTTCCCGTCCCGTGGCCTCGATATAATGATATTTCGCCGGTGCTGACCATCCCGCCAGCCCCTGGCTCCACTGGTACCGTCTCTCGGGTTCCTTCCGGTCGTGCTTTAGTCCGGACAACATCGCGACGTTTGAGAAGGCCCCCTACCTCACTACACCCGGACTGGGGATTTTGTCGAGCGCCAACGGCAGTCCCAACGAGCTGGAGTCTGCCGTGAAATCAGGCATTTCCAACTGGACTGTCAAGAGGCTGAAAACCGACTTCATCGATACGACGCAAAGTCCTTCAAAGCCGCTGCAGAGCCCAACCCACATCCCACGCTGGACGGCCCATATGTTCTTGACAACAACCATCAACATCGGGGCGGCAGTCTCGACATCTGACCCAGGCGTGTATGCCTTGCCATACGACCACTTTTACGACAATGAACTGCTCCAGAACTTTGACTTGATTGTAAGCACAACTCCCGCCCCCTTCCAGTCACCCAGTTTCTCTTGTTTGGTCCCTTGTACACCTATCTTTGCGCCAGCTTGCGGACCGCTCCAGGATAATAGCATGTACTGATTGGTGTCTTTGCCACTGAATGTCCAGCCCTCGGATATGAAAATGAATGCGACGTTCAATGAGAGCGACTACAACACGGCAGCAAAGAATCTTGGGCTCTCACTGATCCAGGAACTGGACCCCGAAAAACACCCAACCGTCAAACCTGATTTGACGCTGCCGTGGCAGTCTCTTGGGGGAGACAGGCGAGATGAGCCCGACTACCCGGACATAGGGTATAAAATAGCTCTTGAAGGCGAGGGAGTGTCGCCGTTCAACTTCCTGCAGGCTTCGTACGAGGACGCACAAGGCGTAGTCAAGTCCCAGAGAATCATCAAAGTCAACAACAACAATCGTCAGCCGTCTTATGTCGGCCTTTTCTCCCAACACACATTCTACGCCATCATGATGCTCGACTTTTGGAATCCCATCTACTCCTGGAAGCGCGGCATATTGATGGGGTACGTTCCACAAACGACCAGCTACAACGGGGAGAAATACGACCTGGAAGCAAACTTCATCGCCAATGTCATCAAATCGCCGTATGCCAGCAAGCTCGATTCCTCCGAGTATCAATTCCTGCAGCTGCTCAACAAAACGCTGCCGGACTTCCAGCAAATGATTCGAGACTACCTCACCGCTATCGCCAACCGCATCAAGAATGAGCCGGTGCAGGCCCTCCAGGACTATCTCAAGCTGGCCGAGTCGCGCAGACGCATATACCGACCTCTGCCCTTGGACGAGTTTGGCTACAGTCTGCCGTTCGCGACCAAGGTCCCCTTCACTCCCGGTAAAGACTTGCTGGAGATGACGCCGCAGGGGACGATTCAGGTGATGGATCAGCGGGGCCAAGATTTCCTGAACGCGTGGACCACTTCCCTCGCCGAGCCGGATCCCCACGTGGTTCCAACTCTGGATGAAGGGCAGAACCGTAGCAACGAGCCAGCGGCGCCGGCGCTGGCCATCGCCGCTCTTCCGAGACCCGCGAGACTCGCCATTCCGTGCCAGCGTCTGACAGGTCGAGCCTCATCCCCCTCATCTTTACGTACAAGCCGCCGTTCCCGCCGCGCCGGAGGGGGCTGCCCCTTCAGGAACCAGGGCATCGCACAACCTCCGTCTGCAAGCTGAGCCACACCTACCGGCTGAGGATCGACGACTTGAGCATGGCTGCGGACGTAAAGAAGGATCCCAGCGCCAGGCTGCTGGTGACAAGGCTACAAGATAGGTAGGTGCTGGGGGAGGAAGATGCCAAAGGGTTGAACGGATCTGAGCCATGGGTTGCGTGGTTGAGAGGGTGCGGTTCTTGTCTTCATAACTACCACCATTCCTGGCCCCTTCTGAGCAGCCGTGGGACTTTTATGTCAAAACCAATCCAGGAAGCGTACGATTCATTAAGATTAATATGTGATACCCAGGTAATTATGTACGTAGGTGCCCCGGATCCAGTCGCCTCAAAGAACACGGCATTTACGACGCCTCGGTCGGGGGGTGTGTCAGCGTGCCGTGGTGGGCGGCGCAGCCGGGAACGTCGGTCTTGAAGGGCGCCCGCCTGCCGCCGCACTCCAGCGGGTCGCAGATTTCGCTTGTGTTGGGGTCGTACGTGCCAGTGCACGATGCCGTCGGCGCAGGTGTTGAAGGTGTACGGCCGGTGCAGAGGGCGTGGGCTGGGTGGGTGGTGAGGAGGAGGAGGAGGAGGAGGAGGAGGGGGTTGGGGAGGTGGTGGGTTGGTTGGTGGATGGTTGTGATCAGATCCAGGGAGTTACGAGCCTGGTGACTGTGGTGGTGATGGGTTTTGGCGGAATGGTGATGAGCAACAAGAAATGGGATATCGCGGATTAAAAGTGGTGCGTGTGATGCTGGCGGGATTGACTCGTCATTAAATACAGGATGCGCAGATTTAGTGTTTGCATCGTTCCCCAGTCCGTCCTCAACCAACCGGCGCATTGGTGGAGCATAAAAGAGAACTTGAAATAATTGAACCCCCTTACGGCCCGGCCAGTTTTAACAAGAATCAATATACGGCTCAGCCTCGCAACGCAACGCCAACAGCTACGGCTGGTAACTTAAACCGTCAGGAGTACACCATCGACAACAGGAGGTGTCTGTGGACAGCCCTTTCAGGGCATATCGTCCTGCATACCATCAAATCTACACCGGGTGTTTACCGCCTTCGTACTCGGGCATGAATGATATCGTTTTGCCGTGCCGTTCTTTAGTGCCCCCGGTGTAAGACATGCGCCTGTGTTTCGGCTTGCGTGGATGTCTACCGGTCCGGGTATACCGCCACCAACCGAAGACAGTGACCGCGGTGAGGCCGATCGAGATGATGAGGTAGATCCAAAAGTAAAACGATAACACGGGCTTGGAATTCTTATCCCCTGCCGCGTCTTTGTCAGACGCCTCTCCGCTGTTACCAGTTTCGCGAAAACGTATGTCTCGCCAGTCGTTTTCGAAGTCGAAGACGGGCATGGCGAAAATGGTCTAAACACACAGATAAGATTAGGGCTCGACACTCCAGGGTATGCGGACAGTGTGGTTGCGGTCTTACAGCAACAGTCGTGATTGGGAGATAAAGCATGGCAACAAACGCAATAACGGTGCTGGCCTTCGCCTGGTGCCGTGCTGACTCGGCATCATGGCTCAGTAACTCGGACGTGAACTAAAGCCGAGTTGTGTTAGCTAACGATCCCGACGGCAACAAGATCTTTCCGTTCTTACCAATTCTTCAGAGTAAGTCATATCGTCAAATGTCATACGGCACCTAGCCATCAGGGCATCAAACTCGATGCTGATCTCCTCGAACCTGTCTTTGAACCTCACGGTGCTCGTGGTGAAGTCGTCGCCCAGCCGCCCGGAGGCCTGGTCCCCCGCGGGTCCTCCAGCGCGGTTCATCCACTCCTCGATTTGCTGCATCATCTTATGAAGCTGGCTCTGCGCTGATCTCAACTCCTCCTCGGCCTTCTTAGTGTTGAGGCGGCAGTTACGAAGCTCGCGACTGAGCTCAAAGGACCGCCTAACTTGAGGACGGGTCTTCCCGTTCAGCCCAAGCTTCATAGTCGCAATATCGCAGTCTGCAACTGCATCGCGGACAATTTCTGTCACTCTGTCCCGGGTGAGCTCGGCAAATACCCCGACCATCAGCAGCGGATGAGACTTGACCTCGGGAGCGTGGTGGAGCAGCTCCTCCACTCTCTTCATCTGCTCCCCTGTGCAACCGAATATCACACCAACAGTGAGCTTGGAGCGTCTGAAGTGCGTGGAAGAAATTGCTAGGTTCTCCGGCCAAGTCCGTGATGTAGCGGCCGTGTACATCTCGACAATCTCCGGGCCCTCCTTTTTGACCAGATAAGTTGTCGATGGGCTGGAGTTGCTGCGCTTTATCGCATTTCGAATCGCATCGTGGAGATAGAAGCACTCAGTCACACGCTTCCATGCAGGGCCAGCCAACGGGATGCTGGATAGCAGCCTGGGGATGACACTTTCGTTGTTCGTCCCCAGTCGGACAGGCTCAGGTATACCAACGAGTCTGGAAGCACGAGAAATAGGTAGCCCGTTATTAGAGATGCGCATTACGTTCTGGGAAAGTGCGTGCTTACAGGATGTGGTAACCAGACCTGTCCCGATTCCCGGTCGGGGGTTGAAGAAGGTCTGACTTGAAGACTTCACTCTGGATGTTGTTTCGTGTAAGTGAGCCAGTTCACCAAAGTAAAGCAAACAGAGGGGAGACCAATACACACATTTAGCCACTCCGTAACACAGCCGTCATTCTCGAGGGTCAAGGGGGTGGTTTCATTTCCCTGTTTCGAGGTTAGAATGGGCGTAAGATGATATGAATCAAGACTAAACCATGTTTACATGGCGCCGCAACACCCTCGCAGGATAGGGCGATGAGCAGTCAAACCGGAAGAACGAAGACGGTTCGTCGAACTTGAGGAACGGGTTGGCGGTCCGATGCCAATCCATCCTCAGCCTCGACTTCTTGTTTCCACCGCAAGCACTCCTAGATCTCAGCGTCGATATGTTTATGCCGTTAGTATGTGAATGTAAAGATAAAAGGATTGTCGATGATGCCTGTGCTTTGGAGAAATCACTACCCGCTGTTGAATGCAGGGGTGTCACCGTGTCAGGCTTTTGCGAAATTGACGCCCGGATCAATGCGGGATTGGACAACCAAAGTGGCCGGCTGCATGTCCCGAGCCAACAAAACAAGCGTGTTATGGTCCTCTGCTTTCCAGAAGGTCCCACCAAAGTGAGACAAGGCAAGAAAATGATACTTTGCGTCGCAGAGGATATCGTCGGCACTAAGAGGATCAAACTGCGTTCAATACCAGACATGTATGTACCAGCCCAATATTGAACCCTCAACAATCCTTTTCAACAACACTAGGTCTCAATCCAGTTATCTGCCCAGTAGGTACATACACAAAGTTTGCGATGCGCTCTCTTTAACATGAACTTGGCGGACGATATCAATACCGATTCACTGCGCTTTGGATACGATTGCATGGTTCCCTCGACTGTGGCTATGTCCGCACATGACACGGTGAGTCTAAGAGATTGATAACCCCCTTTTATTTAAAGAAAACAACAACAACTTAGCATGGCAAAACGCCGGAAGTCTCAAACACGAGGTTACACTCCAGATTTCGAATACATGCCTCCACACATCTCTGCACGGGAGAACCAAAACACCCGATTCCGATCCCCCCCCTAAATCGCCGCCCCTTTCCATTGTCATCAACTCAAGATGCAGTATGACAGCCATAACTCCGAGTTGGGCAACCTCCGGGTTAACCATCGCCGACCGGATGCAACCACACAGCATGAAGCCCTCACACAACCCCTTGACATTGACGACTAAGAGAACTCCCGCCATTCGGTCTGCAGCTGCTCAACGTACCGTACCTGGGCGAGCCCGTCGGGTATTTAAACCGCGCTGCCATTACAGCGGGACCCCATGATCCGGAGACCACAGTCGGTAGTCGACATATTTAGCCAAATTACGAAGCTACCCAAATCCAACCTACAAGCCTTGGCCTGCGTTGTTTCTATAATAATACGAGGTACGAAAAGCCCGTTCGATCCTTCAGAAAACCTCAATCGGCGATAAGAATGGTTTGCCCCCCTCACAAGCGTCGGCCACGACAACTAACCCACGTCGATCCAACGACACGGCCCCCGACATGCTGTTATCAAGCCTTCTTCTGACCGCCGCGTCCGCGGCCGCGGTGGTCATCATCCCGGGCGGTGGCGACCCGAAGCCCTATACCGGCGCTGCCGGCCTCACTTCCGAAAATGCCTACTTCCGCGAGTCGGCGCCCTACGAGTTCTTCAACAACAGCGCCGAGCTCATCATGACCTCCCTCTCCGTCACCAACATGTCAACTGCCCCCGGCCTGCGCCCCTCCGGCGACTCCTTCGTCCGCGGCGCCATCCAAGCCTGGGGCGAGCACCTACACCTCGTCGTCCGCCCAGACGAGGTGTGGTTCACCATCCTCGTGCAGATGAACTTCTACATGCTCTCGCACGCCGAAGAGATCCGCTCTCTCTTCGTCGACCACGAGGGCCAAGAAGAGATCTACATCGAGGACTACACCTGGTACGACGTCCTGATCCGCTTCAAGGACGAGATCCAAAAACGCGTCAAAACCGACTGGCTCCTCGACTGGATCACCCCCAACTTTTCCACCACCACCGACAGCGACATCATGACGGCCAACATCCTCATGATGGGCCTCAGCAAAGCCTACTTCAAATACATCGGCAAGCAAGTGTGCGGGCTCCCCTCCGTCACCCTCCTCGGCACCGCCTCCGACTGGACCAAGCTCCTCGCCAAACTCGACCGCCTCCCCGACTTCGGCGTGGAGCCCGCCGAGTACAAAGCCCGCCTCCGCCCCATCCTGACGCGCATCGCGGCGTCCTTTGACGACCCGGACTCCGCCGAGACGCGCCTCTTCTGGAACCAGATCGTCAACGCCGAGGCCTCCCACATGTGCGGCGCCCCGCCCGTGTACGTGTCCGGCTGGATCACGGGCTTCTACTATTGGAATGACAACGGGCGGCCGTTTGCGCGCACCGACGGCCCCCCGCGCAGGCCGCGGTTGGCGCTGGATGGGGTCGAGTATCCGGCGCTGGATCTGACGTTTGCGCCGGTGGGGTATGCGCGCGCGCCGTTTATTATGAAGGATTTTGGGGGGATGGAGGAGTTTCCAGCCTATGTGGCGGCGGGGGGGCTGGGGAAGCAGATCACGGAGGGCCCGCCGGAGGGGTATAGGGAGGCGTTGGAGAGGACGGGGGGCGATGTGAAGATGGCGGAGGATGGGACGGGGCATGGCACGCTGAGGCCGCTGAGTGGGTGGATGCTGTATGGGCCTGTTGATCATGAGGTCGCGCAGCCGCAGTACATGGAGGAGGATGAGCTGCTGGAGATTTTATTTTTGACGAAACAGGGCATGACGGAGGAGACGTGTGGGTTGTTTGCAGCGCCGTGAGCGGAATAGGGGGCGGTGTGAGATGGGTGTTGTTGTGGCCATGCATGTCTCTAGGGTGGTTTTAAAGGCGGAGGAGAAGAATGCGGGACCAACGTCGTAGATACATAAGTCCCCGACCAACATGCGGTTTCAACAGGCATTTATGGAAGGGAGACCAGTAATCCCAATCTCAAGTGATGATGTAGAGCGACGTGTATTTGAAACAGACGCATCGGTGTATCGAACAGAGCTCAAGGATTGACATGGTTAAAGCAATTAACCTTACCAACCACTACAGGCAGATCAGTGTTGAGAGGCTTTACATATAAAGCCGGAACATCCTCAAAGGTATGTTCCGTGGAGTACGATCACTGGGCCAGTATGCAACGATTTATTTCACCGCCATGAGCCGAGCTTTCAGCTTCGTGTCGTGTAATTGTTGATAGCAGGAGCTTCAGCCTCAAGCTAGAACGTTAGATGTATAACACTAGGTACTTTTTACCAGAAGTCTTAGAGTAGTACGTTACTGAATAAACTGTTAAACTGGGCCGGCACACATGTTACCCTAAGAAATATTTTACGCTTGTATTCAAGTGACAAAGACTTCTGCTCCCATGACTCAATGAACATCCAAAACAGGAGCCCCCGGAACTTATCCTGCTCTATGCCATCACACCAGCGCTACGTTTCCCCGTAGAAGATCCACGAATGTCAAGCATTAACTGGGGTTGAGAACAACAACAATAGACACACCTCAGCCCACACTTCGTGACGGATGGTTTTGAGCCCAAAACAGTGAAGAGGGTGCCGAAGCAGAACCCCCTGGGGATCCGGCTTTCTGATCTTCCTGTCTTTCTCGTGAGGCCTTCATCACCCTGGAGCCTTGGGAGGAATTAGTCGGCCCGGTTCCGCGTTGTGTAACGCGGTCTTGCCATGGATCTCACAAGGTCAGTTTGTGTGCCTCGCGTCTGAGGCGGTCTCGTGTCAGCAAGGCGACATAGGGTGACTGATTGGTTGGAAGGGCGAGGACCTCGTGACAAGAAATAGGCTGAATCCCGGTACCATCCGTGGGAGTGTGACGGCCAAGATGTGGCTTTTGAAGGAGTCATGAGCTCGGTGGGAGGGAGTTGGCACACCTTTTGAGGACCCGTATAATTTCAGGGGACAATATTTTCAAGTGGAAAATCGCAACAAACCGGCAGTCTTAGTATTTCCTTTCTGGCCGTAATTTCAGCTGGACCATTGCAAGCACCCATTTGTCCAGGCTCCATCTCTGGCACGAAATCCCATGACAAGTGATGAGTGATGACACCATTCTTCTGGGATCTGCCTTTTTCTGACATCGGCCAGTCAAAAGAGCTTCCGTGATATCCGATTGACCAGGGCCACGTTTGCCTATTCAATAGTTGATTGTGCACTGACACATCCCGCGCTCATGGCGGATTTAAGTCGACCAGACTACCAGTAGGGCTGACGGAGTTGACAGGGTCAAAGGATATTTGTGTTCGTAAAATCCCACCCTCCAAACCCGAGAACCGGGATAGCATCAGACGCAGGGGGGATTGGAAAGTCCACACCGACATGATGCCTGTCCCAGAAACATCCCGCGCTGAAGACGGCTGTGCAAAAGATGCTCACAACCCGGTACTGTCAGCAATCTGACCAACCGGGAGCCTCCCGATGCACCCGAACCCGGACGTGAACCCCGGCCGTGCAGACGCGAAATCACCAGACCCTCTGTCCGACCCCTGCTTTCCACATGGCCGCGTTAAAGATCATGGATTCGCCAAAAGACGACACACCCCCTGCTTATCAACATCCTTCCTTCGCCGCAGCGGGTTTGGTCTGGAATGTTCGTTGACAAGTTAAAACCCGTTAACCGAGTTCTCGCTTCGCGGCCGGTGATGAGCGGCGGCAGTTCGCGGAAGCGCCTGGCGGCTCCGTGCCGTGGCGGACGGGAGAGCATGTTGTAGAACTCGATGCTGCATAATGGTTAATATCTGTATTCCATTTATAGCTCGATACGCCCGCGAGGCTTCAGACCTGCCGTTCATGGTCACGCTCTGCAGCTGCGTATTGGTTCTATGTACAACCGTCATGTCCGCGGAAACAAACGAGTAAGCCAGTTCGAAGGAATCGAGACCATGTAGGACCGTCTTATCTGTCACGATGCAAAGGGAAAAGGTGTATCTCACTTCCCCTTGACACTCGCCCTGGAATCCTGGATCCATCATCCTTGTCACACCAGCTCCGTCCCAGCTACCCGGATGAGCACCCTCGCAGGCTGCAGAACCTTGCCGAACATCCATGAGAACCTGGTTCTGTCAGCCCATGGTGGCCGGACGCCATGCACGTGGATGGAAATGTCAAAAGTCGTCACCCGCGACTGCGTACTGCCTGCCCATAGGACAAGCAGACGCCAGAGTGGATAACATCCACAAGTCCAAGCGAAAGACGTTCCTTCGGATTACACGAGATTCTGTCGCGACCGAGACCGGATTCTTGGTACCCAATCACTGCGATCTCTTGGTCGCACGCATGCGCGGGCTGTGGGAGGAGATGGGAGTGTGCGGCTCCTCGCCTGCATTGCATTATGGATTGTTCGATAACGGGTTGGCTTTGCCTGGTGCTGCTCCGATCGTGTATAAGTAGACGAAGGAGTTCCCGTATCGAATGACGTCGAGCATACCAGTCCACCACCGCTCCCTCGCATCACAATATCTTTAGAAGACTCCCGTAGACGCACCAGACCGTCTTCCACCATGGGATTCACCCGCTCCCTGGCCCTTGGGCTACTTTGTTCCCTACCCCTATTCAACGTTGCGTTGGCGGCACCGACATCGGCATCTGACGCTGCTCCACGATCTGCCATCGCCGTCAAGCTCAACAAATCAGCCTCCCGCGCCAGGTCTGTGGCCGGTGCCGACGTCGTCGAAGATCTCATCCGCAAGGCGCAGTCAGGCTCAACGCATGCCAAGCGGGATGCCCAGTTCAACGTCCTGCCGCTCATTACAACTCTGACCCCTGAGAAGATCTCGGAGCTGGTCCAACGGGCCACTGAGTTGACTCCCAGTTACAAGCCGGCGGACTTCGGGTCTTGGTTCCAAGTCCAGTTCCCGGGATTCTACGGGTTGACGAGGACGACTCCGAGATTGTTCACTCCTTGAGCAACCTCTCCGGATATGAGGAGTGGCCAGCGCCCAGAAGCTTGCAGCACCAAAGCACCCCAGAACTGCCGTCGAGCCCACGACGACCGGTTGTTTTTCCAGCTGAATTCCGGACCCCCCCTCATCTTTGCGCCCGGCGGACGGGTCGTGTGACGTGCGCCCTGCAATAGACGTCTCCTTAAGACCCGCGGTGATCGCCATATCTCGTTACTGGACTGTAGCTACGCCGAATAGTAGGACTCGCAGATCACTTCCGTAACACCAACGACATGAAATCTGCGCG